CCGGGCCCAGGAAGCCCCTGCCCTGCCACGTGCCCCACCCACACAGTCCCGCTCCGTCGCCCACCCGAGGACTTCTGCTGAGAATGGACAGTGCTTGGGCCCCACGGGTGCGTCCCTGGCCCGGGAGAGGCTGAGGGACACGTGTAGCTGTGTGGCCCGCCCTCCCACCACCATCCTCCTTCACGTAGAAATCCCCAAACAGGCCGAGGAGAGAGCAGGCGGGGCCCGCAGAGGCGGCCTCGAGGCCCCGGGAAAACACCCGTTTAACCTCCTTCGATGGAAGGCCGAACGGTGGGAACAGACACAGGGGCCCTGGGCTGGGGCGCTGACCACAAGGCCGAAGGCCACGGTGAGCAGCCCCCCCCCCCGCCCCCCGCCCCCGTGGGGAGTAGCCTACCTTGCGCTGGCAGAAGGTGGAGCAGTAGTTGACCTTGTGGCAGCCGGTGCACTCGCTCAGGGCCTCCCGACCGCAGTTGACACAGGACTGCTGCAAGGACAGGGCCAGTCAGTGCCGGGCGACGCAGCAACCAGTGCGGGCACAGGCGGGAGGGCCAGGGCCGCCCCCACGCCCACACCCATGCCCGCCACCTCCAGGGCAGCTGGTCCCGTTACCGCTGCGTGCAGAGGGCCAAGGCTGGGGACAGAATTCTCCATGGGCGGTGACAGGCCTGGGCCGGACATGGGGGGCTGGCCCGAGGGGCTAGGGGGTCAGCAGATGCCAAGCGGCCCACACCCTGTCCCCGGCCCCCCTCCCCCAGCCCTCCAGCCATGAGGCTCCCTGAAATGTACATTTTGTGTAAATTACAGGGTTGGAGCTTCTCTCTCTGATCGGCTGAGGGCCGCACACAGGGACGCAAGCCTGACTCTGGCGGACCTCAGTTGGCACGATCGGGTGACACGGCAGACACCAGGCCTAAGGTCAGCTCCAAGCGCAAGCACAACAGGCAGCAGACGGGCACACGCTAGAACAAGATGTCAAACTCACGGGCTGCATGCAGCCCACAACATATATTTCTGCAGCCCAGCCAGTATAACGGTTCATAAGAAACATGTCAAGTCCTGGCTGGTCTGGCTCAGTGGATAGAGCGTCAACCTGCGGACTGAAGGGTCCTGGGTTCAATTCCGGTCAAGGGCACATACGTCCATTGCAGCTCCTCCCTGGCCTGGGCCCTGGTCAGGGCGCATTCAGGAGGCAACTAATTGATGTGTCTCTCTCACATCAATGTTTCTCTCTCTTTCCCTCTCTCTTCCACTCTCCCTAAATATCAATGGAAAAGTATCCTCGGGTGAGGATTAATAAAAAAAAATTTTTAACAAAAATTTTGTAACTTAATTTTTCCAATATCCTCTTAGACATCATTATTAATAACAAACTACAATGTTCGCTAATGACTGATGACTATAATCGTGTTGCATTCATTTCCCTTACGTGCCTTACGCGCAGGCACACCATTTCTCTCCACTAACACTAGCGGCGAATATTTTAGCAGCCGATGGACATGTCATTAGTCTCGGACTGACTTGTTGGGTGTGCGCAACAGGAAATATTTCGCTTTCGGAGAACAAGAAAAATAGGCTTATTTGTGTGACGCTTATTAATTTGTGCAGTTAGTCAGTGTCTGGTAAGTGAATGTTCAAGAAAAAATATTAATTTTTATTCCAATGTTCTATTATGTTAACAATGACTCATTTGTTTCAGCCCTTTGCGTCAGCATGTCTCTATCGGAATAAACCACGTTTCTGTGAAAATGGAAGCTTTTGTTTTTCTGCGGCCACAGACACTTACACCTGTTTGTGTGGCCCGTGTGAGCCTGTGGGGTGACACCCTTGCTTTGGGACCTGCCTGTGCCCGCCGGCCCTGCAGGCGGGAGCGCCCGGCAAGCCGCCCGGTTTCTGTTCTGAACTTCGGCTTCCTGCTTCGCAGAAGGCTATATTTAACACACGAGCGCTTCCACTCCGAAAACCACCGCGGCGCTCGCATCACCCGGGTCCACGTGCCCCCGGCCGGGGCTGTTCATGATGAAACCTGGGGGGGGTGGGGGGGGCGGAAGGAGCTGCAGGAGGGAGGGTTCCGCAGGGAGGGCGGGTCTGCTGGCCGGGGAGCAGGGGTGGAGGCGGCGGCCCGGGATGCCCCCCACGGAGGCTGCGGTGCAGCGGCCCAACCACGCGGCCACACGCTGGACCCGTGCCCGGCCGGCCAAGGGCACCGCTCTCCTGCCTGTTTCATCGCTGCGCTGATTACACACATGGATGCGGCGGCCACGTCCGAGCTGGGACAACCTCCTGAGCGTCCGGCTGACTAAACGGGGCCTTTTAAGTTCCAGGCCGCGGGGAGCGGGCCGTCCAGGGCCACCCAGCCCTGCGTGCGCCCTCGTCATGGGGCCGGGCGCGGTCTCGCCCTCCGACCCGTGGCCTCCCGCCGGCCTCGTCTGCGGACTCCGCGAGGACAGTGTGGCGGGCTCCTCACGAGCCTCCCTCTCGTCACCAGGGTTTGCCCGTCCCACCCCGACTCCTTCCAATGTCGCGTCAACCAGAAGCGCCTGTGATGACAGGCGAGAGGCACAGAACCGGCCTCGGTCCTCCCACGGTGTGGGCCCAGGGACGGAGATTCACGCGTGACTGGCTGTCATTCATGTCGCCGCAAGTCCCCGACAGGCCACTCAGCACGACCGACCGCAGGAAACGCTTGGACCACGTGCGTCCTCGCCCGCCTTACCGTACCCGCGACCCCAGGTCACTGCTGTCGCCGCCGTGTTCCAGGGACGTGGGGGCTTCTCCCTCGTGGGGGGCTTCTCCCTCGTGGGGTCTTCTCCCTCGTGGGGGTCTTCTCCCTCGTGGGGTCTTCTCCCTCGTGGGGGGCTTCTCCCTCATGGGGTCTTCTCCCTCGTGGGGGGCTTCTCCCTCGTGGGGTCTTCTCCCTCGTGGGGGGCTTCTCCCTCGTGCCTACGGCCCCCAGGCCCCCGAGGCCGCTGGAGGGAGCCTCCGAGGGGTGAAGTCTGCCTCGAGAGCCTTCCTTTCGCAGGAACGAGGTGCTGAGGGTGGCCCGCTCTCACCATATGGGCGTGACCGTTCCAGTCTGTGCACCAGCTGGCAGGTGCTGGGCCCATGTGTCGGGCAGGGGTGGCTCGGCCTGACAGGGGTGAGGACCTACCATCTCGGGGCCTCCATGCTCAGCTTTCAATAAAAAATAGTTCTTTTTGATTGAATTTCCTGGGGTGACATTGGGTTCAGGTGAACAATTCTACACATCACCTGTGCATTGTCCTGTGTGTTCACCAGCCCAGGTCAAGTCCTCCATCACCATTTACACTCACCCCTTTACCCTTGTCTCCCCCCCACCCCCCGGCAGTCACCAAACTGTGCCCGTGAGTCCATACGTTGTCTCAGGACGACGCATCGTAGCCCGGCCGGCGGGGCTCAGTGGCTGAGCCTCGACCTGTGAACCAGGAGGTCACGGTGCGATTCCCAGTCAGGGCACAGGCTCGGGGTGCGGGCTGGATCCCCAGCGTGGGGTGTGCAGGAGGCAGCCGGCCCGTGGTTCCTTCTCATCACTGACGTTTCCATCTCTCCCTCCCTCTCCCTTCCTCTCTGAGATCAATAAAAATGTATTTTTTAAAAAAGAGGACACGTTGTATCTACAGCCCGAGAGAAAGGCCTGTGACAGCCCAGCCACTTCAAAGGCGGGGGCTCCAGCGGGGGGTCGGCCGAACCCCTCCTCACAGGCTGAGCCGCCTGGCAGAGGGTGTCGGAGGAACATGGAGCCAGCCTCCCAGGGCGGGGCCTGGCTGCCCCAGGGCACAGGGCCGCACCCTCCTGCCAGTGACGGATGGCCACCTGGGCCTGGCCCCTAGGAAGAAGCGGCTGAGCTGTGGCTGCTCCCTCGTGGGAACGGCAGGCAGCAGCTGCTCCCGCCCCACCCGCCCCGCCCCACCCGGGGAAGCAACTGTCCCGCTCACCCCTGGAGAGCGTTGGGGGGTGGGGGGGGGGCAGGAAGGAAGATGTGGAACTAGGAGTGGAGAGTGTTCCCCTTTCGTTTCCTCGCCGGCCCCAAGTCCAGATCCCAGCGCAGCGGGCGCCCCCAAACCGAGCTTCCACCTGCCCCTCCGGCCGTCTGTCCTGTGTCCCCACACTCGGCGCTCAGCAGCCTGGGCGAGGGGGGCTGGGCACGATTCGGGGTCATTCTACTAGTAAGTAAGGACCCAAGTGTCTGTTTCCCAACTCACGCTCCTCCGCACAACCTGAGCCAGAGACACGCACACGGGCCTTTTCCTGCGGCAGCCGCACCGGGACCGCTCCCCTCCCCTGCAGGAACTGCCAGGCGGGCGGGGCAGGACGGGCAGCCCCACAGCGCCCCGGCACCTCAGGGTCCCTCATCACCGCCCTTTAAAACAATCCCCAGGCCTCGCTTCGGCAGCACATGCACTGAAACTGAACGGTGCAGAGGAGATCAGCACGGGGGGGGGGGGGGGGGGGGGAGCAGACTCCAACCGTCCCCCACGCACACGCCAGAGTCCAGTAAACCGTCGGAAACGACCAGGCACGCAGGAAGGAGAGCGTGGCCACAGCCACGGAGCCAAGCAGGTCCCAGGCACAGACCCGGGGCCCCCGCGCCGGGTCAGCTGAGGAGGCAGGAACACGCTCAGCGCACTGGAGGCCACGGGCCCACGGCGGGGCAGCGGGGACACGAGCAGGACGGGACCGCCGGGACAGCCTGCAGGCGCCACACCTGCTCCTCAACCAGAAGACGAAGCCCCCAGTATCCCCAGCGAGGGGCAGGTAAGCTCTCCCGGGGGGAATGATGAGGGGGGGGCGACGCAGAGGAGGGGGGACCAGAAGGGGGGCGACGCAGGTCCCGGCACAGGCCGGGTCACACGGGTGCCGGGACCGGGTCTGGTACTTTCTCTACAAGCATCTTTGCCTCAGAAACGGTCACCATGTAACTCACTGCCCGAAGGGCATTTCTCTGTAAAAAGAAACAAAATAATTGGCTCACAGCTCGCTTTCCGTTTGGTCGGCTGGTTTCATTTCTCGGTGGAGGAGGCAGGTGCCTGGTCCGGCTCCACGCACCAAGCGGCTGTCACTTTGGTTTCATTTCTCCGCCGGGAGCTCAGCCACTCCCGTTTTCACGTTATTTATGGTCTCAGCCCCACGGGGTCCACGCTGCAGGGTCCACACTGCTGGGGGTCCACGCTGCGGGTCCACGCTGCAGGGTCCACACTGCTGGGTCCACGCTGCAGGGTCCACACTGCAGGGTCCACGCTGCAGGGTCCACGCTGCAGGGTCCACGCTGCTGGGGGTCCACGCTGCGGGGTCCACGCTGCTGGGTCCACGCTGCAGGGTCCACACTGCTGGGGGTCCACGCTGCTGGGGGTCCACGCTGCAGGGTCCACGCTGCTGGGTCCACGCTGCGGGGTCCACGCTGCAGGGTCCACGCTGCGGGGTCCACACTGCAGGGTCCACGCTGCAGGGTCCACACTGCTGGGTCCACGCTGCAGGGTCCACGCTGCAGGGTCCACGCTGCGGGACGTGCTGGTGGCGCCTTCCGAGAGCGAGTGCTCATCCGCAGGCCACTGGTGCCAAGACTTGGTTTCTCGTTTTAAAACCCACCACCCGGGGGCCTGAGGGCACAGAGCCGAACCCACGTTATTTGGGTGAATAATTGCAAATCTTCTGGTCCTTGAGCTTTTCTCTTGCCCTGAAGCTCGGCCTTCGGCAGGGATTAGTGGGAGCTGTGTGCACATACTGTGACCGCGCCCAGGGCCGTGTAGATAGAGTGGAAGGGAGGTGGGCAGAGGGAGCGGGAGAGGGAGAGAAACCGCGATGGGAGAGAAGCCCACGGACCGGCTGCCTCCCGAACACGGCTCTGAGCCCGCACCGGGGTCCGTGCCCTGGACCGGAACCAAACCTGCGACCCCTCGGTGTGCAGCCTGATCCTCTGACCCCTGAGTGACCGGCCAGGCTGGCACGACATGTTTTAAGTATTTAAAATCATCTCTCTCTTCATGGGTAGAAGCAACATTTCTCTTCCTTGAAGACAAATTAATCACTATGGCGTCGGGCGGGTTCTAGACTTATGGGGAGACGCCTGATGAGGTGCAGCAATGCCTAACCACTGAGCGCCCCAGCATCAGTGTAATGTCATCGTCAACTGTAATTGAGAGTGAAACATTTTTAAAGGAAAACAGTTAATCACACGTTAAGAAGTCATTTAGGAAATGAAAAACTGTAAAAGCTCTTCTATCCTTTGACCTCTAAGAAGTAGAAATAAGTGAAAACGTTTTCTTGCATAGAATTTTTTTCTTAGGAAATCTGATGGAAACAAGTCGACCTGACTTTTGCTTGCACAGCCCACGCACACTTGCTCTGAGTGAGGAAGCTCAGTGAGCATCACGCCGCCACCCCCAGCACACACAGCACACAGCACGCCCCCTCCATCCCCCCACGCACTCCCAGCCTCTCCCACGCTGGGCGCGAGAAGGGACGGAGCCACGCTGCTCACCACCTTCCCTGACTCCGACCTGACTCTGGCCACACCCCCCGCGGTTCCGCGCTCACGTTACCTCCTTGCGCTCGGCGTCCTGCGCCCGGGCCTGGGCCGCGGCGGCCTCGCGGTAGGAGCTGGCCTGCTTGGCCTGCTCGAAGAGCGCCTTCAGCTGCTGGGCCGTGCTGAGCAGGGAGTTGACCATCTCCTCCAGGTACAGCCAGCTCCGCGGCTCCGACAGCTCCAGCCCGTTGACCACGGCGGGCGAGACGGCCTTGGCGGGGTGGGAGGGCGGGACCGCCAGGGCCGGCAGGGAGGTCAGCACTGGACGCAAGACAACCAGCATCAGTGCGGCGCCCCGCTCCCCAGTGCCGCCCGAACCTCATCCACGAGCGAACGCAGGGCGGTCAGTGGCTGAATGCCGCGGGGCCTGCTCCTCAATGCTCCGGATGTGGGAGGCCACTCTCTCAGGGTCTCCTAGCTCCACGGCCCAGGCGGGAGGCCAGACATTCGGTGACAGACACAAACCGCGAGCAAAACGCACCAGGCAGGGCGGCCGCGAGCTTCACTGCCCGGCCGAGGGGACAGCGAAGGGGAGGAAGGGGCTCCAGCATGAGCCTCACAAGAGGGAACCTCAAGACCCGGGCGGGGCCTCTGCTGGGAGCCCGTGACAGGAAACACGCACATCACAGGGGCACACCTGGGACTCGGCGTCAGCACAGCCACCTCGGCCTAGAGGTGAGTGACTGAGCCCTGGCCGGGGTGGCTCCGCTGGCTGGAGCGCCATCCCTTACACCAAAGGGTCACAGGTTCGATTCCCAGTCATGGCACATACCTAGGCTGCGGGTTCAATACCCGGTCGGGGACATGCGAGAGATAACTGATCCATGTTTCTCTCTCTCCATTCCTCTCTCTCTGAAAACCAATGAACACGTCCTTGGGTAAGATAAAAACAAAAATGCAAACCCTCACTTTTATTTGTTTTTATTGTTCTTTAATCCTCACCCGAGGATATTTTTCCATTGATTTTTAGAGAGAGTGGAAGGGAGGCAGAGAGACAGAGAGAGACATCGATGTGAGACACGCTGACGGGTTGCCTCCTGCACCTGCCCCGACCAGGCTGGGGAACCTGCCATCGAGGCACATGCCCTTGACCAGAAATCGAACCCTCGGCCCTGGGTCGGCGGGCTGACGCTGACCACGGAGCCACAGCAGCTGCCACAGCAGCCGCGAAAAACCCTCCATCTGAAGGCGAGCAGTTGGAGGCGTGGAGTCCGCGGCCCCGGCTGCAGGGGGCCGGGCGTCTGTGTCGCACCGATAGAGGGTGAGAGAGCGCAGCCTTCTCGGTTCAGAGGAGAAAGTTACAAAGACGGGAGGGAAGGGAACCCGGACCCTGTGGTTTCTGTGCTTTGGGCGAAGCGGGGACTCAACACACAGCCTGGGGCGGAGCCCCCAGCAGCAGGATCTGGGGGCTGCCCGGGGTCCACACCCAGCCCTCCAGGGAGAGCGCTCGTGGGAGCACACGCCCCCTCCTGGTGTAAGCACTCCCCACCTGCCGTCACCGGACGTGGTGCTGGAGCCGGACCAGCAGCTCCAGCCCGTGGACCGGGCCGGCCCTCGGCTTTGCAGCACCATCCCCGCGAGGAGGGTCAGGACCAGACCCCGACCCGAGCCCCCGGCGCCCGCGGTGCCAGAGGCCGGGAGCTCGGACAGCAGGCAGACCGGGCGCAGCGCAGGAGCAGCGACAGGACGGGCTGAGAGCAGCCATCGGTCCCGGCCTCCAGGCACCCGCCGCGGGCACACCACCCAGGCCCAGCCCAGGCCCTCACCCGGCCCGGATGCTAGAGGTGCTGCCGGGGAAGGGGCAGAAGCAGCGTGATGTCAGGGGGAGATCTGCACGGGAAAAGGGGGAACGGAACAAGCAAGGGAGACTGCGGCCCCGTCTGTGGGGCGAGCCCCTCACGGTACGGAACGTGCAGGTCCTCGTGGGGAAGGTGACCCGGGCTTCTCGGGTCACACGGTCTCCGGACACACGCGTGCCCAGGCGAGCCCAGGTCCTCATAAATCCCTGTGACAAACGGGGTGGGCACGGCCCCGACCCGGGGCATCAGCAGACAAAGCCAAGCACGCCCTCCTCACGCAGGATCCCTGCCAAAGCAGCGGCTCCGAGGCCAGCCGCCTGCGCATGCGGGAGCCGTCCGGACTGACCTATTTTGGGGTGCGCAGTGGGCAACGCAGCTTCCGGGAAGGGCGCGACCTGGCAGCTGTCCTGGTACCCGGGGTAGTGGGGCTCCGCGTGGCCGACCCGGCACGGGGGCTGCACGCCCGCCTCTTGCACTGCAGCGAGAAAGGAGGGCGCTCGTGACCGGCCGCACGTCCCCCGGGGCAGCTCCCGCCACGCGGGGCAGCGGCCCGAGACGGGTGGGTCTAACTGTGCCGGTGACGGGACTGGGACGCAGCAAACATTAGTTCCCAGGGTCCCTTCCCCAGCGTGGCTGCTAGAACACACACTGCACACGTGGTCACGCGTGTCCCCACGGGCCAGCGCTGGACTAGAGCGAGCTTGGCAGCTGTGAGCTTTTCAGGTGGCCTGGTCCTGCCCCGCTCATCAGCCCCCTTGCCGCCCCCCGAGCTCCCTACGCCCCCAGCTCATGCCTCCGGGTGCCACATGGCTCCCCACCAACGGAACTCCCTGCCCGAGGCGCCTCCAGGTGCCGGGCCGCCTACGAGCCCAGCTGGGCAGGGCGAGGCGGCAAGGCGCGTGCGGGTCAGGCGGTGCCAAGACCACTTGCCTGTGGCTCCCGCGAAGACGTCCCCCTGGGCCGGACTCTCCGAGATGACGGCCGTGGCCTCCACAGTGGACGCCCGGTCGAAGGTCAGCGCGCCCGAGGTAGTGATCTGTCCTGAGGGGGTCACAGTGACTGCAAGAGCAGAGGCGGGTTTCGCTCGGCGGGCCTCGGAGGACCCAGGAGCCCGGCCGCGGGGACACCACGCGCTGCAGACTCCTCCGCGGCCGTGAGAAACGGACCCTCACGGCCCGGCGCCTGGGGGCGACCCGGGGCTGCCCGCAGAGGTGGGCGGGGCAGGGAGGGGCAGCGGGCCGGAGTGCTGACAGCAGCGTGCGCGGGAGGAGAGAAGCGTGTCCAGGACTCACAGGTGGTGGCGGCCGTGGCCGGGAGCAGCGTGATGTTCTTGGGGGCCTCCTTCTTGCCCGGGGCTGCGGGCAGCTCGTTCTCCTTCTTGCGCCGCTTGTAGGGGACAAAGAGCCGGACAGGGCCGCTCTGCGGAGGGGCACAGAGACGGGCGCTGGCGTGAGCGCGGCTCACGCTGTCCACGGGTTAAGAGGGGCCCGGCTCCGCTGTCCACGCGGCCAGCAGGAGGCAAGCTGCGCTCAGAACCCCCGCTCTGTCGGCCCCCAATTCCTTCCAAGGACAGGACAGATACTTTCGAAGGAACACAGGAGAGTCCGGTCACCATACGGAACGTCCAGGAAGCCCGAGAAAACAAGGGACCAGGCGAAGGAGAGGGACCGCAGGCCCTTGGTCCCAACGCAGGAGGAGGCACCGCAGTCACCAACTAACAACAACCCCGGGGACCAGTGACACCAGGAAACGGGAAGGTAGCGGGAGCTCCGCGGGGAGGCCCGGCCGATGGCTGCGTGGGAGAGGCCCAGGCCTCAGGGACGCAGTCTCGCGGGTCCCCGAGGCCCAGGAAGGCCCACCTGCTCGGTGTGCAGAGGGGCCTGGGCCGACCTTCTCGGCCACCAGCTGGGGAGCCTGGCTTTTGAGTCTAGAGCTTTATCTGGTTCCCTGGGCAGTTTCCACGTGTTTCCTGAGAGTTCCCTCTGACGAGACGCAGTCATTAAAAGTGCCTGGCCCTGGAGGGTGCTGGGCTGGCTGGAGCGTCATCCGTACACCAAAGGATTTGGGTGTGATTCCCAGTGAGGGCACATGTGAGAGGCAACCGATTCTCTCTCCCCCACTCCCTCTCCCTCCTCTCTCTGAAAAGCAATAAAGTTGTGTGTTTTTTTAAGTGTCTGGGCCTGACCAGTGTAGCTCAGTGGTTGAGCGTTGACCTATGAACCAGGAGATTCCTGGTCAGGGCACAGGCCCAGGTTGGGGGCTCAATCCCCAGTAGGGGGCGTGCAGGAGGCAGCCGATCAGTGATTCTCTCTCATCACTGATGCCTCTATCTCTCTTTCCCTCTCCCTCTCTGAAATCAATAAAAATCTGTTTTAAAAGTGTCTGGTTTGGGGGTTCAGCTTTCCATTATCTCAAGATGCTTCCTCTGATGTTCCCCTAACAACCGTTCCGGGCTGACCACGTGCCCCAGCCAAGCCATCGATCGATCCCCAGAGTAGAGTTTGGAAACAGAATTTGAGCAGGAAACTGGTCTGAAGGGGTGCCAGGGACACGGGGGCAGGAGGGGGCACACGCCAAAGAGGAGTGAGGACAACCTCTGTGCACGGCAGAGGAAGAGGAAGGTGGAGGGGCGCCAGGGCCACCAGGCGCTTGACCTCTGCACTCACCAAGGTCATGTCGTCGCAGCAGGCGGCACAGGTGCAGGAGGCCGCGTGAGGGTTCAGGATCCCGTCCTGGAATCAGAAAGTGCCACGACCCGTCAGACTGCCCTGAACGTGAGCTGTCCGTAAAGACAAGATCCTGCGCCTTCCAGAACCTTCCCTACACTCCCTCCATGATGCTGCTGCTGGTGGTCGGATCGACCCTTTTTTCCAGGATGTCGATTCCACAGCATCCTCCCCGTATCAACTCCCAGAAAGCCAGGCTGGGCCAGAAGACGCCGCGCCTCGCCCAGGCCTCCCGCCACCACACGGGCAAGCGTCGCCATCGCCCCGCTCGAAGCATCGGGAGACGAGACACAGAGGTGACCACGTGGCTGCCCAAGGGCCTGCCCGCGGTGTGAGCGCAGCCCTGACGCGGGGAGGGGGGACGTGTGCACCTGGATGAGGCACTGCAGCGGCCGGCCCGCGTAGCGGATGCTCCGCTTCCAGTCCTTGCTGCTGGCTCTCCCGGCCATGGCTTCGAACTCCGTGGGGCTGTACCAGTTCTCCCCCTGCTTGATGCATCGGCCCCGGCCTCCTGGAAAGAAGGACGCGGTTCCCGCCTCCTGCCGGCTGGTCCCGGCCTGCGGGACCTCACCCACTCCGGCGTGGACCCCGGCTGCGGGGCAGATCTGCCCGCGTCCTGGGTCTGCAGCCACTGCCCACGCTGCCACGCTGAGCTCGAGGCAGCTGCCCAGCCAGAGCCCGTGGCCTCGGGTCCCCATCGGAGCCAGGGACAGGCTCCTCGGTCCCGCCTCTCCCTCGCTTGGGTCACCGCGCTTCCTGGTTCCCCACCACCACCACCACCACCCGGACCTCCTGGGAAGCCGTAACTTCGCCTGTGTCCTTAACTAGCTTGCGGGCCCAGGCTTGCCGTGGGGCTGCCACGGCAGGGGTCTCCGACGCGAGGCGGCAGGGCCTGCCTACCTGAGCCCAGCCGGTTCTTGTAGAGGGTGCCGCTGATGTTGCGGCAGCGCACGGGCAGCTCGCTGTCATACACCGACGGGTCCCAGTTGTACTTGCTGCCCCCTTTCTCTTGCCCGGGTGCCAGGGGGGTGGGAGGAGACTGAGGACCTTGGCACAGAAAGCATTTGGCGGTGAGACCCCGAATGCGCCGGGTGGAACCAGGACGGTCAGTGGCCTCGCCGAGTTCCCACGGCGGGTCCCAGGCGGTCCCCGCAGCACCGCCCTCCCCTCCAGATGAGGCCCTGCAAGCAGCTCTTCCTCCGCTGGGAAAAATCCCACTTAATAACATTTGCTATTCCAGCCCTGGCCAGTGTGGCTCAGTGGCCAGAGCATCGGCCTACAGGCAGAAAGGTCCCAGGCTCGATTCTGGTCAAGGGCACATGCCTGGGTTGCGGGCTCAGTCCAACTTGCAGGAGGCAGCCGATCCATGATTCTCTCTCATCATTGATGTTTCTATCTCTCTCTCCCTCTCCCTTCCTCTCTGAAAGCAATAAAGATATGTTTTACAAAATAACAATAATTGCTATTCCAAACTGACTACAAAAATAAGCAAGTCAATCCCAGATACACCCCACGGGCTGTGGGGCGGGCGGGCCCGTACCTGGGGTGAGCGGAGCGGCCGGCCCCTTCAGCCCCGTGGTCTCCACGATGCTCCCGTCCGTGTGCACCACGATCAGCGTGGCCTTTTCCGTGTTCAGGCTGTCCCCGATCTGCAGGGCGGTCCGGCCGGACTAGAGGGGAGAGTGCACCCTAAGTCGTCTCGGGGACGGTCTCGGTGACGGCCGCGGGGGTGTCACCTGGTGCCCTTGGGCCTGCCCCTGCCGCGAGGTTCTCCCTAATGTCACCACGGGGACGCCTGCCACGCCTCGTGGGTCTCTTTCAAACATGTCACCAAAACGTAAACGCAGAGCCTACAACGGGGAGAGTCGATGCCAGGCTGCGAGGCCCCGAGCACACCGGGGCCGCCTGCCGAAGCTACAGTCAGCTGCTCCAGAAAAGCCCGAGGCAGGCCGCGGCCGACGTCCCGCGGGAAAGCAGGCAGGGCCGGGCCACGGGGGACACTGGCCCCGGTGGACACCGGGCGCTCCCACCCCAGGGGCCCTGCGCGGCCACCTGGCGAGGGGGGCAGGAGCGCTGTCTCCTGACCCCGGGGCTCGGAAGGGTCCCTCCACCCGCCCACACTGCACGGCTGGTCCCACTGCAGCTCTACCCCCCCAACCCCCCGCCCCCGGCAGCGGCACAGCTAAAGGAGGGGGCCGGGCGGAGCGGAAGCCCGGCCCTGGACGGCTAGCGGAGCAGCTCACCAGAACGTGGCCCGAGAGCGAGGCGGCGTTGGCCACCGAGGTCGTGAAGACGTTGTCCGCCGAGGCGCCCACGTTGGCCACCGTCACAGTGGTCACCTCTGCAACACAGGAGCCTGACTCAGCGCCATGAGCCCAGGCTCCGCCGCCGCCAGGGTGCCCGGCGCGGGGCTGCTCCTCACGCTGGGCCGTCGCACGGAGGTTGGGCGACATCTCTGGACCACAGCCTGACTGGTCAGTTCTTCCAGGGAGAGGCCGCCCCGCCTCGGGCAGCGCCTTCTGCTGCAGCGAAGAGCCACCCAGGAGAGCCCTTCCTGCACCCGATGCGCCCGCCCAGCGTCCCGGGCGCCGCACGCTCCTGGCTTCTGTCCCCTTTGAGGAGAGAACCATGCAGGTCCACAGCCGCGCCCACCAGACAGGTGAGCTCCTCTTGCTCTGCCCTCCCTAGCGGGGTGGGGGGGGGCCCTCCTGGCCCCGCCTCCCCCTTTACTTCCACAGAGCCCTGTGCGGAGGGAACCCTGTCTGAACACACATTCAAGTCTCAAGGCCACACTGCAGCCCTCTGCCCAAGGGGGCGGCCTCAGGGGGCACCTGGAAACTTCCGAACCTATGTCCCTGGGAACAGAAGGTTTTACGGCTTCAACACATGCAAAACACAACTATAGCCCAGCCGGTGTGGCTCAGTGGTTGAGCCTCAGCCTAGGAACCAGGAGGTCACGGTTCCATTCCCAGTCAGGGCACAGGCCCGGGTTGTGGGGCTCAGTCCCCAGTGTGAGGCGTGCAGGAGGCAGCCAATCAGTGATTCTCTCTCATCATTGATGTTTCTATCTCTCTCTCCCACTCCCTTCCTCTTTGCAATCAATAAAAAAATATATTTAAAACAAATAAAAAACACAACCATAAAGATTTGCAGGGGGAAAAAATGACATCAATACAACTTTCTGACGTCATGAAGAGTGACACCACATTTCTGCACACGGAAACATACGTGCAAAGAGGACAAAAACCTGAACAAAAACTTCCCGGTGTGAAACCCCAACGCTGACCCAGAGTTTAGCAATGAAAAATGAACCCTACGCGCCACACAGCCTCTGAGGACCCTGAACAGACCACACCTAGGCACCGGCGCTGGGCCCCACGGCTAAACGTGAACACACACCCACACACACACGGACCAGACAGACAAGGCAGGCAGGGCAGGGGTAGGTGCTGAGAAGGTTCTGGAAAGAGCACAGAGTGCGGAACAGCAGGGAGTGGACTGGCACAAGGAAAAGGGGGTCAGGGAGCCGATGTGCATGCAGAGCCAGGTGTGCAGGGACGACAGGGCACACAGCAGGTGCAAGGCAGGTGCCGGGGAGGGGGCGGGCTGGCCCTGGGGCTTGTCAGGGGAGGTGCATGTGGGGGACAGGTGCTTAGGGCAGGCATGTGGGGCAGGTGTGGGATGGTCGGTCCAGGTGTGCGCGGGCAGTGTAGGGTGTGGGTGTGCAGGGTGTGGTGCGCGGGCGGTGTGGGTGTGCACGGAGGTGTGTAGGGGCAGGTGTAGGGTGTGGGTGTGCAGGGAGGTGTGCAGGGGCAGGGGCAGGTGTGGGTGTGCAGGGAGGTGTGCAGGGGCAGGGGCAAGTGTGGGTGTGCAGGGAGGTGTGCAGGGGCAGGGGCAGGTGTGGGTGTGCAGGGAGGTGTGCAGGGGCAGGTGTGGGTGTGCAGGGGCAGGGGCAGGTGTGGGTGTGCAGGGAGGTGTGCAGGGGCAGGGGCAGGTGTGGGTGTGCAGGGAGGTGTGCAGGAGCAGGGGCAGGTGTGGGTGTGCAGGGAGGTGTGTGTGGCAGGTGCAGGGTGTGGAGGGAAGTGTGCAGGAGGAGGTGTGGGTGTGCAGGGCGGTGTGCAGGGGCAGGGTGTGGGTGTGCAGGGAGGTGTGCAGGGGCAGGTGTGGGTGTGCAGGGAGGTGTGCAGGGCAGGTGTGGGTGTGCAGGGAGGTGTGCAGGGGCAGGTGTGGGTGTGCAGGGAGGTGTGTGTGGCAGGTGCAGGGTGTGGAGGGAAGTGTGCAGGAGGAGGTGTGGGTGTGCAGGGCAGTGTGCAGGGGCAGGGTGTGGGTGTGCAGGGAAGTGTGCAGGGGCAGGGTGGTGGGTGTGCAGGGCGGTGTGCAGGGGCAGGGTGTAGGTGTGCAGGGAGGTGTGCAGGGGCAGGGTGTGGGTGTGCAGGGAGGTGTGCAGGGGCAGGGTGTGGGTGTGCAGGGAGGTGTGCAGGGGCAGGGTGTGGGTGTGCAGGGAGGTGTGCAGGGGCAGGGTGTGGGTGTGCAGGGCAGTGTGCAGGGGCAGGGTGTGGGTGTGCAGGGAGGTGTGCAGGGGCAGGGTGTGGGTGTGCAGGGAGGTGTGCAGGGCAGGTGTGGGTGCAGGCGGTGTGCAGGGCAAGTGTGGGTGTGCAGGGAGGTGTGCAGGGGCAGGTGTGGGTGTGCAGGGAGGTGTGCAGGGGCAGGTGTGGGTGTGCAGGGCGGTGTGCAGGGGCAGGGTGTGGTGTGCGGGCAGTGTGCGCGGGGCAGGTGCGCGGCAGGCGTGCGGGGCTGTGCGGGGCTCTGTGGGGTGAGGGTGTGGACTGGTCGGTGCGGGGTGCAGGTGTGTGGAGCAGGTGCACGCGGTGCAGGGGTGGACTGTCGGGCGCAGTGCGTGCAGGGAGGTGCGCGCGGGAGGGGCGGTCGGGTGGCGCGGGCCGGCAGCACTTGCCTGCGAAGGCGGCGGCCGCAGCAGCCTCGTCGGGGCCGGGCAGGGCCTCGGCGCCCATGTCCATGTGCCTGGGCTCAGCGGCCATCACCGCCACGGCCGTCACCCGCCGCGTCTCGCGCTCCGCCTGCGAGTCACCGTCCTCCTCCGAGTCCTCGTCCCTGTGGAGCACCGGCTCGTCGGCCTCGCTGCCCGCCGCGGCCGCGGCCGCCGCCGCCACAGCGGCCGCGGCCGCCACCGCCGCCGCCTCGGCCAGGCCCAGCTGCTTGGCGGCCGCGTCCGAGTCCTCCATCCGGACTCCGCCGAGCCCGCCCGGCCGCGCGGCGAGCCGAGCCGAGGATGCCCGAGCGGAGGCCGAACCGGCACGAAGGGGCCCAGGCGAGCCGAGCCGACGGCCTGGAGTCCGGAACCGAGGGCCGCCGAAGGGGCGCGAGCGCGGCGCGGGGCATGCCGGGACGGCGGGCGGGCGGGGCGGGGCGGGCCGGGGCGGGGCGGGCAAGATGGCGGCCGCGCGGCGAGGTGAGGGCGCCCCCTGCGCGGGGCGCGGGGAACCGGGTCCCGGGCGGGTGCGGGGGGGGCGGCGGCCCGGTTCTCCCCGGGGCAGGACGGGCCGGGGCCCGAGCCGCCCGGAGCCGCCCCTTTGCCCGCCGCTCCGTCCCTCACGCCGGCGGCGTGGACCGGCCCCGCGCGGTGCCCGTGCCCAGCCCGTCCCGGCGCGGCCCTGACCGCCGCTCTGCCCTCCAGGGAGCGCTTCCCCCGCGCCCGTATCCTGCGCGGCGCCCCGTCCTCGGCGCCAGGACCCTTCCGGCTCCTTGGCCTTTGACCCCCGCCCCTTCCCCGAGTCCCAGGAGCGAGTGCCCGGCGCCGCGACTGGCGGGTCCAGGTGACTTCCGAGTGGAGGCTGCCGGGCACCTGCCTGCCCCCTTGCGCCCGGGAGTGGAGGGCCCGGGGCCGGGAGTGGGCCCCCCCCGCCCCCGGGGCTGACAGTGGGGGTGCCGGGAGTGGGGGGCCCCTCAGAATGCGCTCAGCCCTGTGGCAGGAACACACCCCGAGTGCGTTGCTCCGGAAAGCTGGAGGCGGTGTCTAACTGCTCCCAGTAGAGAGAAATAGACTTTATTTGGAGAAAACAATCTCTCCTCTCTCCCTGGCTCGTACCCGGGCCGTGGTCAGGGTGATGCCACCTGGGCACCCGGCTCTAGTGCCTGCTGTGCCCGTCCCTTGGTCTCGGCCTGGGTGTCGCTGTGAGGGGCGGTCCCGGCCCCCCCCGCCCCCATTCCCCCCCCCCCGCCCCCATTCCCCCCGCCCCCCGCTCCCGGGGCACCAGGGGCCGGACTCCGTGCCCACAGGTGCCCAAGCTGGAGGCCGTGCTTGGGAGGCCCGGCAGCCCCTCCGGCCCGGCCCTGGGTGGGCGCCCGGGCAGCACGGATGCAGGACGAGTCCTTAACGGCTCCCCAGCTCCCCTCAGTCCTCCTGCAGGTGCTGCTCTGCCTCGGCGGCACCTACGCCGCCCTGTACGTCCTGGCCACGCTCCTGCTGATCGCCTACAAAAGTGAGTCCGGAGCCGGCGGGGCGGGGCGGGGCGGGGGCTGCCGCTGCCGCCGGAACCTGAGCCCCCCGGGGTGCCCGCCCGCAGGCCAGGCCTTCAGTTACCCCCAGGATCGCCTGCTGCTGGACCTGACTCTGCTGCTGCTGACCGCGGCCCTGGAGGCAGCCCGCTGGCACTGCGGTGAGTGGCCTGGGCGAGCGCGGGCACTTAGACACAGGCGGCTGGCTCCCCGCGACCTCTGAGCGGCCGCGCCCGCAGGGCGGCCCCTGGAGACACCGGAACACGCGCTCGAGTGCTCCGCCAGTTGCCGGCGGCTCAGCTTTCGGTGAATTAAGTATTAATTCGTTCATTGAGAAGCTTGGTCCCGGACGCGCCCTGGGAGACAGGGCTCTGTGGGAAGCAGGGGCCGCTGGGGAGCAGCGCTCCCCTCGCAGCCAAACGCTCTGCTCCCCCTGCGCCCCTCCCGAAGCCGGATCCGTCGGTTGGTCTGTCTGTCTGTCTGTCTGTCCGTCCCCACCAGGACCGCTGGCGGAGGTGGGAGACCCTGGAGCTTCTGCAGAAGCACAGCGTGCCCTTTGCCCTGCACCCCTCCGCAGCTCACCTCCAGGCCCGGCTTCCCGCCCTGTCTGCCTCGCTAGCACTGTGGCTGCTGCGTGTTCGCCCCCCCCCGGCCACACCCCCGGCGGCCGTGAGGGCTCCGGACGCAGAAGCACGTGGGCCCTCCTGCTGAGTGCGTGGGCCTTAGTGTCCGCTGTCACAGACCAGGCTCCTGCCGTGGGCGGGTGGCCAGCAGCAGTAGAACCGCCTGCCCCACCCAGCTCCCCCACGGTGGGCCCCGGGCAATGGGCATCCGCATTTGCCACGATCGCCCCATTTGTGAACGGCGCCGTTGCACATTAGTTTTTCTGGGCCTTTACCCAGAGGGAAATATCTTAGGAAAAGGCGGGAGAACGCACTCGGGACGGTTTTCGGGAGCCTGACCCTCTGTCCCACCCACTCAGCTGACCCAGAGGCCAGGGTGAGGTCAGAGCTGCGGGCAGTCCCCACCCTCCCGAGGACGATGCCCCGTGAGTTTTGCTTTCCGACACTGAGCCTGGTGGTAGGTGGGCCTGCACTGGCGCCCTCCAAGGTGCGAGTGCGCCACGGGTGCGCTGGCGTTGGCCAGCCTCGCCCTCCGGGTGCCCGCGGCCTGGCACTCACCGTGTTTGTTCTGCTCTCCAGGCACCAAGGGCAACCTGACGGAGACCGAGCTGCCCCTGGCTGCCAGCCTGGTCCTCACTGTGGTCAGTTCCCTGCTGTCCGTCTACTTCCTGCTCTGGCAGACCCTGGTGCTGTGGGCGGACTCGGTCCTCAGTGCCACGCTCCTGGTGCTCCACGGCCTGGAGGCCATCCTGCAGGTGGTGGCCATCGCTGCCTTCATCAGCTAGCCGGGCGCCTCGAGGCCCTGGACAGCCCGGGGCCTCCGGGGGCCCGCGGCCGAGGGAAGGCATGTTCCTGCCGGGTGCTTGGGGGCAGGACCAGGGCAGAACCAAGTGTGGGTGATGGGGCCGGGGTGGGCTGAGTCAGGGCCTGCCCTGGGACAGACCTCGGGTGGCAGTGGGCTTCCCCTGGCACCGCCCGGCCTGGCCGGCCCCTCGAGGTGTGCCAGGCCGCACACATTTTCTCGCTGCGGCAGCATTCCGCACAGGTCTGCGCTCCGTGGGGCCCACACGACGGGAAACAGCGGGGGTGGGACAGGGCGTCCCGGACCCTCAGCGGCCCAGGCCGAGTCCCGGGTGGAAGATGCTGGGAGCCGGTCAGCTCTGTGGGTGCCTGTGGGCCCCGCAGCTCCTGCCCCCGGGCTCTGGCTCAGCCACCGCTCTCCCGGCCCGGGTAGGTGACAGCCACTTCAGGGCTCAGGTGTCCTGGCCTCGGCCATTAGAAGGCCAGTCACGTTTGCCCTGAGCGGGGCGGCTCCACGTCTGCTGTCAGCTGATCCTCCAGTCACCCCTCCCGTGTTCCTCTGGAATCGCATGTGCGAGTGGGTGTGTAGTTTCTCCTCACTGTGTTTTTAAAATAAAGAGTGTGTACACCTCCCCGAAGTTCTCCTCACTGAGGCCGCCTCCTCCAGCGCTCCCTGGTCAGGGGCCCACTGCGCGGGGCCCACCTCTGGCTCAGGCCCCTGCAGCTCTGGTGAAGGCCCTCCCCTGCGGCCCCCGCTGGGCCCTCGGCACATCCATCACCTCGGGGGCACCGTGGCTCCTCCAGGCCCGGCCCTCCGGTCAGTGTTGCTCCTGCGATGATGGGCGTGGAGTTCAGACGCCGCTCTGCCTCCGGGAGGGGCGAGGGCAGGCGAGTGCCTTCCCTTCTGGGTGCTCAGCGCTGTGACAACCAGGAAGCCCGTGCTCCCAGGGCTGGGCCTGAGGACGAAGGCCACTTCCTGCTCCCCCTGCACAGGCACCCCCTGCACAGGCACCCCTGCAATGCCTCCAGACCAGTCCCTGGGGCCCAGGCACCAGGGAAATGCAGTGTGGGTGGGCCTTCCTGCCCCCAGGGGTCCCCCAAGAAACCGGCTGTGCCAGCTGAGAGCAGGTGCATACCAACTGCCCAGCCCTCCTGGGCTCAGGCCCCCAGACCCTTTTGGTGCAGCCTTTTCAGCTCCCCCAGCCCCGGAGAGCAGCTGGACCCGGGGCCCTCCCATGGCCTGGGTGCCCACCTCCACCTGGGCCTGCCCTCTGCCCCTCTGCACTTCCTCCTCCTCCACTCACGGCAGAGGCCCAGGAGGGAGTCCGTGCAGGAGGAAGCACCCCTGTCCCTGGCTGGGCTGAGCGGGGAGGCACTGCCGGGAGCACTCCCGCCCCCACTGGCTCCCGACCCCAGCGCCCCCAGCCGGCCCCAGACGCCCCATCCCTCGGAGCCCGCTGGGCTGGTGCGGGAGAATAGAGGCTTCAGGAGTTCCTATTGGGAAGGGACCCCCCACCCCCACCCTGAGACACCCACTGACCGCAGCCTGGCTCCGAGACCGGCGGGGGCTGGAGAAAAGGGGACTCTGCCCCTAAGCTGGGACCGAAACGGGGCCCTGCCACCCCTTATGGCGCACAGCTCCGGGGACCGGGAAGGTCTCAGAGCCTCACCCTGCAGGTCCCCGCGCAAGAGGGGCTACTGCCTCCGCCCGCCCGCCCCTGGGCACCCAGCTCTAGGGGTGAGGTCTGGGCTGGGGGCCGCCAGCTGGTGTTGGGGATCCCCCGCGGGGAACCCTTGGGGGCGGGGCTTGGGCAGGGGCGGGGCTGCCGTCTGTGCCCCGCCCTCCCGGTGTTGTCCAGGTTCTAACCTGCCGCTCAGGTTCCTTCTGGCGGCTCCGCCCCTGTCCGGCGGCCCAGCCCTGCCGTCCTCCTTGCGCAGGAGCCCGGTGTGGACAGACGGGCGGACGGACGCGCGCGCGGACGAGGGGACTAGCGGGCGGCGAGCAGCAGGTGAGCGCCCGGGGGTCGGGGACCCAGCGCCCCCCGCCCCCCACCCCGCGCCTCGGCAGCTAGCGACGTGGGAGCCGCGCACAGACGGTGGCCCCCCGGCCTCCGCTTCCCCAGGCGGCGGGCGACGCGGGTCTGCGGGCCGAGGCGGGCGGGAGGCGGCGGGCGGGCGCGAGGGGCTGCGCCGGGCTCGGGGCGGGAGCCCGTCCCGCTGCGGCCCGTCCGGCCCGTCCGGGGCCTCGCGGGTGCGGGGCCCTTTGTGAGCCGACACCGCGCCGGCCGGCCGCCTGGGGTCAGTGGGGCACCCGGCCTCCGCCGACAGGGTGGTGAGGGGTCTCCCGCCCCGCAGGCCGCACCCGGTTCCTGGGCGCCGGGCCTCCGCGGGCGCCGGGCCTGGGCGCGGGCTCCCTGCGGGTCGGACGTCAGGCGCTTCCTGGTGGCGGCGCGGACACCGGCCGGGGCGCGGGAGGGGTCAGGCCCCGGGTCACGGCCGGGGTGTGGGAGTTTCAGGGAGGCGCGGCCGCAGGTGCCGGGGAGGGTCCGGCCGGCCGTCCGACCGCCCGCTCGCCCACATTCTTCCCCGGGGCAGCCCCGCGCAGGGTGTGCCTGTGGGGAGGCGCTCGCAGCGTCACAGGCCACCGCTGCCCTCGCCCAGGTGGAGTCTGCCCAGGCCGGGCCCAGCTGGCGCCCTCCCCCCTCTGCGCGCGCGCACACACACGCACACGCGCGCACACACACACGCACACACGCCGTGGCCCTGCCCAGGCCTCTCCAGGTCCCTGCCTGGTGCCCCGCCTGGTGGCTCAGAGCGCCGGGCGGGCCTGCCTCCCCAGGGGCTCAGCGTCTGCCTGCCCCCACCCAGTCCCTGCCTCCCGCCTGCCCCATCCACACCTGCAGCTCCCACCCGGCGGCCAGGGCCTCACCTGCCCCCCCTGGGCCTTCAGCTGACTCCTCCCCAAGGTCACCCGGCTACTGGGCTGGAATTTGAACCTGGATCGGGTCCCTCCACCCTCCCTGCCCTGTGTGACCAGGCACCAGGGTCGGCTCTCCCTTTGCACCCGGAAAATGACCGCAGTAAAACCAAAGTGCAGCCTGGCCCAGGGGCCCTGGGTGGCCCCATCAGCGGAAGAAGCCTCCTTGTCTTGTCCCCCACGGGACCCAGATGCCAGGGGCTGGACCACCTCCCTCTGGGCCTGATGCCCCCCACCCCGCCCGCCCGGGAGCTGAAGGCCACTGGTTCCCAGCCTGGGAGGGGCCCCATGTCAGCCTGTGCGTGTCTGAGTGTGCCCGCAGGTCCGGTTTCACCGAGGTGTGTGTGTACCTGGGCCCATGTGCCTAGTGCCCTTGGCTCAGCCCGCCAGGAATCCCATTAAACAAATACTCGGCTCACCCACTGAGGTCATGAGCATTCCGTTCATTCTCGAGGCGCTGATGGGTGGAGAAGCTGGTGAGCCCCCACCCTCCCTCCCCAGAGAGCCAGGACTCGGGCAGGTGGGCAGGTGGGGGCTGTGGCTGGAGGCCCCCAGGCCGCACACTTCCCGGGAGTCCTCCCTGCAGGTAGGACCTGGTGAAAGTGGCACATCCTGGGCTGCTCCCTGCCCTGGATGCCAGCGCCCCTGTTTGTGGCCGCTGGCCGGGGCCGGGACAGACCCCGACACTGGAGCCCTTTGCTGATGACCTTCAATAGGAGGAGAATGTGGGTCCAGCGTCCCCACGGGGTGCAGACCCAGGGGCGCCAGGCTCTGCTCCTGCCCCTGGGGGTCCCCCTGGGCTTGCTCGCGGCGCTGGGTCCCTAGGGCCCCCGGCTCCAACCTCATCCTGGCCTGCCCTCCTCCCGTCTCAGGGCCTCTGACACCATTCCCTCTGCTTAGAGGTGCTTCCTCCCCGCCCCCCTTAGAGCCCCCAGACCAGCTTCTCGCAGCCCCACCCCAGACAGCCTCTGGGAGTGGAACCCCTCTGCTGGCCCGTCTTGGGGTCCCTGTGGAGGACCCAGGGTCTGGGGAGAGATGGGGCCGCGGTGACGGCTGCTGGGACATGGCGGGGTAGGTGGCCCTGGGCATTGGATCCTGGGCAGGCGGTCAGGGCTCCAGCCTGGATCTGGGCGGGGGACGAGGAGACCCAGTGAGGCCACCGCCAGGCCGGCCGGGAGGCGTCAGCCCTGCTCTCCCTCCCCCCAGGGGTGAGCCAGGCACGGGGCCCTGGCCTCGGGCCACACTGAGATCTGCCCTCCACCACTGGCCACGCGGAGGACGCCATGAGCCAGTCGGGGTCTATGAGCTGCTGCCCAGGCGCTGCCAAGTGAGTCCCCACCCACCCGCTCACACCCCCCTCCCCTCGCCCCCCGCCCCCCCACAAGCAGTCCCGGGAAGGGGTGCAAACCCCGCCCTCACCAGCCCCTCCCCGCAGTGGCAGCCTGGGCCGTTCTGACAGTGCCACCAAGATGAGCGCCAAGGACCTGTTCGGTGAGTGAGGGTTGAGGACGGGAGGGTCTCCCCCACCCCCTCGGGCTGTGCTGGGCCCCCACCAGGGGAGGTGCAGGTCAGCCCTGGGCACCCAGGGAGGTTCTGGGACCCCAATCAACCAGCCGCTCAGGCCCCTCCGCGAAGCTCCGGGCCCAGTCCCCCCCTCCAGGTAAGGGGAGAGGCCTTTACTAATAATTCAGGGCCATCAATATTGATTCGGCTGAGCTCCTGCTGCAACCCGATCGGAGGGGACTGGGTGCCAGGTGTCTGCTCCAGGAGGGCCTGGCCACCCCCCAGGCCTGCCCCTCCCCCAGCCTGCCCCCTCCCCCAGGCCTGCCCCTCCCCCAGCCCTGCCCCTCCCCCAGCCCTGCCCCTCCCCCAGGCCTGCCCCTCCCCCAGCCCTGCCCCTCCCCCAGGCCTGCCCCTCCCCCAGCCCTGCCCCTCCCCCAGCCCTGCCCCTCCCCCAGGCCTGCCCCACACGCATGGGCTCATCTATGGGTGTGGACAGGTTGCCCAGTCTGGAGAGCCAGGAGCCCTGGGAGGGCAGGGAGATGTTAGCTGGCAGCAGGGGGGGCAGCCTCCTGCACCCCCACCACCGGGACAGACCCCAGTCCCAGGCACCATCACCGTCTGAGCAGGTCAGCCTGGATGGAGGGAGGGCTGCCTTCTGCCAGGACCTGCGTCTTTCCTGGTGGCCACGCGGGGCCCACAGAGCGGTGCCCCTCCCTGCTGGCCACCACCTCCATTCCATCCTCCCCGTGGCCCAGCCCGCGGGTCCAGCCACTTGGCCAGGGCACCCCGGGGCCGCCTGTGGGATGGGTGACTGGCGTCTCCCCGTTCAGAGCAGAGGAAGAAGTACTCCAACTCCAACGTCATCATGCACGAGACCTCCCAGTACCACGTGCAGGTGAGCGGCCCCTCCGGCTCCGGGGTCCCGAGCAGGGGAGCCGAGGCCCAGGGAGAAGGGGTCGGCCCGGCTCTGACACCCGCATCCAGACCAGAGGCAGGGACGGCCCACACCTGCCCTGGCTCAGCCACAGCGGGGGCCTCCCTCACAGTCGGGGATGCAGGGAGCCCTGCATCTGTGCTGGGGGGAGAAGGTACTGGTGGCCAACGCAGCACAGGTGAGGCCAAGGCCTGGTGCTGTCGGGAAGCTCAGGTGGGAAGACCCGGGGGGAAGGAAATTGTCAGCCTGGCCCCCAAACAAGGCCGCGAACTGAGGGAGAGGCTGGGACAGAGGCGCCGGCAGGAGCCCGCGGAGCCCTCGGGGCCTGGCTCTGACCCGGTGTCGGGAGGGCCGGCTCGGTCCACTCCCCCACCAGCTGCCCGCGCTTGCTCCTGGGTCCGTCTCATTCACACTCAGAGCTCAGGAAACATGTTCTCTACATGACCTTCCTGCTCCTGGCGGCTGGCCACATTCCTGGTTCCTGGTCATCGTCCAAGCCCGCGGAACAGCCGGGCTAGGCATGGCTGAGGAGAGAGAGGGTGATGGGGCCCTGGACCAGGAAGGCATGGACTTCCCTCCCCGCCCACAGAGGTCAGACGGGTCACTGCTTTCTGAGCCTCAGTTTCCTCATCCATACAATGGGTCCACAGAGACGCTGGAGTTTCTGTGGCTCTTGGACTGGGCCGTGTTGGGTGACCCGCCCTCCTCACCATCCTGGGCAGGCTGGTGACTGCTGCTGACTCAGTGCCCAAGGTCAGGGCAGGGAGGGTGAGCGGGTCGGCTCTGCCACCAGGCCTCCCAGCCCAACTCCTGGACTTTGGTCCCAGCTGGCCTGTGAGGGACCGCAGCCCGGGGGCACCTCGTCTGCCCTCCCTGCAGCCAGCACGGCTGGGCATGGGCAGGGTTTGCCTGCTCCTCCCAGGCGAGGAAACTGAGGCACAGAGAGAGGGTGAGAGGTGGGGGCTGGGTCAGACCCGCCGGATGAAGGGGGTGCAGAGGCCCCCGCAGCAGGTGTTTTCTTTGTGTGTTTGCTGACTTCTCTCTGAATTGGTGTCAGAGAAATTGGCGCTGAGGGTGGGGCTGCAGTTCTGTCATAGACTGTGGGGCCGCCAGGGGAATGGAGCTGCCTGGGGCTCCATCCCCCCAACACGGCCTCGTGCTGCCGCTGTGTCAGTCCCCCCCCACCTCGGGCTGCCTGTCCCAGCCCGTCACCACCGTTCTGCCTTCCTGAGAGGCCCCCAGAAATGACGTCACACAGCTCCTAACTACCTGGTTCTGCTTCGCCCAGTGTTTGAAGAAAATGGGAAGGGGGGCGGGACTCCTATGGCCGGGGCTGCAGGGATGCCTTGGGCGGCCGCTCTGTCCACCTCGCGGGCACTGCCCCTGGCAGGCGGTGGGCAGGGCGCGCAGAACCCCCCCCCCCCCCCGTGTGGCTGTCCATCCCTGCGCTCACGGTGGCTGCGGACAGGCTTCGCTGTGACGGCACCGATCGCGTCCGTCTCTGCCGTTATAGCTGAGGTGCTGTGGTCGGCATTGCTCAGCCCGAGGCGCTGAGGGTTCCTTCCGGCCTTGCCAGATGCTTCGGGCTTTAGGCTTTCACATTTCGGTCAGTGAGCCGTTTCAGTATTTTATTTTAATTTTTTCATCTGTAATGCTTACTCTCCTAAAAAAGTCATTTTTTAAAAAATATATTTTTATTGATTTTAGAGAGGAAGGGAGAGGGAGAGAGAGAGAAACATCCATGATGAGAGAGAATCATGGATCGGCCTGCACGCCCCCCACTGGGGATGGAGCCCCCAACCCGGGCATGTGCCCTGACCGGGGATCGAACCCAGGACCCTTCAGTCCACAGGCGACACTCTATCCACTGAGCCAAACCAGCTAGGGCAAAAAATCATTTTTTAAAATATGTTTTTATGGGTGTTTTTGAGAGAGAGAGGAAGGGGGAGCGAGCGAGAGAGCGAAACATCAGTGTGAGAAGTAGCCACCGGCGGCCCCCTGCACGCCCCCGTCTGGGGACAGAGCCGACCGTGCCCTCCCAGGAGCTCAGCCTGTGACCTCTGGCTCTCGGAGGATGCTCGGCCAGCGGAGCCACACCCGCCAGGGCCATGGGCGAATGTCACTTGTCACTTCACTTATTTGTTTGTTTGTTTGTTTGTTTTTAAATATGTTTTCATTGATTTCAGAGAGGACGGGAGAGGGAGAGAGAGAGAGAAACATCGATGATGAGAATCATGGATCAGCTGCCTCCTGCACGCCCCCTACCGGGGATCAAGCCCGAAACTTGGGCACGTGCCCTTGTCTGGAATTGAACCTGGGACCCTTCAGCCCACAGGCCGATGCTCTATCCACTGAGCCAGACCGGCCAGCGCTTAACTTCACTTTTGAGTGTGGGACTCAAGGCTAATGTTCCCTTTAGGAATGTGCAGTTATGTTTAAAAGACGTCCTTTCCTGCATTGGCGTCTTTGTCAGAAACCGATGAATCGGACATGAACGGGCCTATTCCTGGACTCCGACATTTTTCACTCATCGTAGTTTGATCGTCCTGAAATCAGGCAGTGGGAGTTCTCCAACTTTGTTCTTTTTCTTCAAAAATTTCCTGACTGTTCCCAGTTCTCTGGACTAAGATTGACACTGTAGAATCAAATTGTCTAGTTCTGACCCCAAAACGCCTGGCAGGGTTTTGATGGGCATTGAGTCGACTGTGGATGGATGTAGGGGGCGCTGGCGCCTTAGCGGCGAGCTGGCCTTGCGTTTCCCTCAGTCTCTCCGGCGTTCGCGGTCGAGTTCTCACACACGGTGTCTTCGGTAAATACTCCTTGGGCATTTGGTTTTTATGCGCTGTTATAAATGGTGCTTATTCTTTTAAAATGTCCATTTTCCAACTGTCTGTTGCTAGCCTGGAGAAAAGCAATTGAGTTCCTTTAAAGTAACCAAGTGCCCCCAGTTCTGGCTGAATTCCTTGATTTTGTTGTTGTTGTTAATCCTCACCTAAGAATATTTTTCCATTGATTTTAGATAGAATAGAAGGGAGGGAGGGGCAGGGAGAGGGAGAGAGAGAGAGAGAGAAACATCGATGTGAGGGAGACACATGGATTGGCTGCCTCCTGTACACGCCCAACGGGCCAGGGATCAAACCTGCAACCGAGCTACGTGCCCTTGACCAGGAATCAAACCGGCGACCCTTAGGTGCACCGGCTGACACTCTAACCCAGAGGCCCTCAAACTTTTTAAGCAGGGGCCAGTTCATGGTCCCTCAGACATTCCACACGTGCGCACTGCGGGCCGGGACACGTCGGCTGCTAAGCAGGACAGGCGGCGGCGGCAGAAACACCCGGCGGGCCGGGTAAATGTTTTCGGAGGGCCGCATGTGGCCCGCGGGCCGCAGTTTGAGGACCCCTGCTAACCATTAGCCAAGCGGGCCAGGGCCCTTGATTCCTTCCCGGGGATTTGGCTTGTGAGTGCATTGGGTTTCCGGGATGCGCATCCATGTGTCTGGAAAGAAAGGCGGCACTTAATTTCTTATTGCGGCCTCTTTATTTTTCCTACTTGATCGCCCTGGCCAGGACCACCACCCACCACCCCCACCACCCCCACCCCCACCCCACCCCCGGCCAGACAACACTTGATAGAATCCCAGCCTGGCGCCCCGGCTCCGAAGACGGCCGTTGGCATCCCCGTCGCACACGCTGCGTGTTTCGTAGCCACGCTTTGTGGAGGGAGGACGTGCCTTCCTTCCTCCGTGTGCTGAGACTTTCCATCCTGAAAGGTGCTTGAAAGGTATCAGACGCCTTTTCGGAATCACACTGTTTGGTTTTCATGAATGTTGAGCCAACCTTGCATTTCTGGAGTAAGCCTCATTATTCACTGTCACCCTTTTTATCTGTGTGTGTCCTAATTGCTAAGGCTGCGTGAAGGCTTTCTTTTTTGCGTCGATGCTGGTTAGATATTGGTCTGTAATTGTCTTTTCCTGGGGTGTCCCTGGCAGGTTTTGGCGTCAGGGTGATGCTGGCCACATAGGGAAAGGGGGTGCTCCCCTCCCACACCTTTCCTCCCCCACGGGGCATGCGTAGCCTGAGACTTGCAACCTGGGGAGCAGTGGGCAGTGGCGGCTCGTCCCAGGCTCACCCCCTGGGCCTGTCTCCAGGGCCCCCCTTTTCTCTGACTTCCCAGTGAGCCATAGCGGCCCCCTCGGCTCACTTCTCTCCCGTGACGTTTCCGAGAACCAAGGAGGCCCAGCCTACGCTCTCTCCTGTTGCTGCTTCTATCTCGGGCCCTCCCGTGTCTGTGTCCCCAGCTTCAGTAACTGTCCTCTCACAATAAAAAATCAGTACGTGGAGTGGGGAGGTGTTTTCAGGAAGAGTGACGAACGGGTGTTATGACTTTTCCCCAAATGCTTGTGAGGTCAGTCAGCCGGGGAGACCCTCTGAGGACGGGGCTTGCTTTGTGGGATGGCTCTTCTCTGCTCTTCTTTTGTTTTTTTTTACATGCCCTTGACCCGAATCAGACCCGGGACCCTTTGGTCTGCAGGCCAACGCTCTGTCCACTGAGCCAAACCAGTCAGGGCGGGAGGTTTTGACGATGAGTTTACTTCCTGCTGTGAGGTCTGTAGTGATGTCCCCTCTGTCCTCATTGTCGCTGATCATTTCTCTCTTTTTTCTTGATCGGTCTTGCTAGGGTTTGTCCGTCCCGTGCACCTTCCAGAACAAGCTCTGGGCGACCTTGGTTTTCCTCCATCGTCCGTCCGTCCGTCTGTCTGTTTACGAGCGTGTTCGTTTCAATCTTCATTCTCTCCCTCCGCTGACTGTGGGGTTTTATTTGTGGTTTTCTCTTCTGAGGAGGACGCGTCAGCCTTTGATGTGAAGTCTTCCCTCTTTGCTGACAAGGTCGCCGAGCCCGTCAAGAGCGGCGTAAGCTGCACCCTACGCTTGGGCGCGCTTTCGTACACTCAGTCCGGACACAGTTCCCCCCGAAAGAAACGGGCCTGAACTGTGAGTGTGCTTAGACGTGGACTTTTTGCAATAAATATGTCTTTTCTCTCCCTACGATTTTTCTTAGTAACATTTTCTTCCCTTGCTTACTGTATCGTAAGGATACCATATAATATCCGTAACATACAGAATGTGTGTTAACTGACTATGTATGTGCTCAGTAAGACTTCCAGTCGACAGTAGGCTATTGGCAGTTACGTTTGGGGGGAGTCGAAGGTTATGTTCTGATTTTTTCTCTTTCTTTTATGCTCATGTTTTAATGACACACGTTGCTCAAGGGTCACCTGCGCCTCCTAACCTTCCTGTGACTTCTTTGACAGGAAGGGTTGTTTAGAAGCGTGTTGCTTAATTTCCAATTATTTGGGGGATTTTCCAATTATCTTTTTGTTATTCATTTCTAGTTTATTCCGTTATGGTCAGAGAACATACTCGTATGGTTTGACTCATTTGAAGTTTACTGACTTTTTTCGGGCCCCGCGGCGATGTTGGGTTTGGTTGGGTTGGGTTTGGTGAGGCTGGGTTTGGTGAGTTTGGGTTTGGTGAGGCTGGGTTTGGTTTGGCTGGGTTTGGTGAGGTTTGGTTTGGCTGGGTTGGTTTGGGTTTGGTGAGGCTGGGTTTGGTTGGGTTGGGTTGGGTTGGGTTGGGTTGGGTTGGGTTGGGTTGGGTTTGGTGAGGTTTGGTTTAGTGAGGTTGGGTTTGGTGAGGTTGGGTTTGGTGGGGTTGGGTTGGGTTGGGTTGGATTGGGTTGGGTTGGGGTTGGTTGGGGTTGGTTGGGGTTGGTTGGGGTTGGTGAGGGTGGGTTTGGTGAGGCTGGGTTTGGTGAGGTTTGGTTTGGTTGGGTTGGGTTTGGTGAGGCTGGGTTTGGTTGGGTTGGGTTGGGTTGGGTTGGGTTTGGTGAGGCTGGGTTTTGCTGACGGATGGGCTGCCTTATAGACTCTCATGCACTTCTGCCCACTTACCTCGCTAGCCGGCGGATGGACATGGGGTTGGGTCCAGCCTGTCATCACCAACGGGTCTGCCTGGCACCTGCGCAGGCGGCTCTCCACGTGCCTGGCTCCCCGCACAGGGCACACCCCACCCACAAGGACTTGTCAGTCCTGGCCCACGGACGAGGTTAAAAATCCAACCGGGATTTAGTCCTAAAGGAACGGTCTCGTGTCTTTCATTCAATGCGCGTGCGGACAGTGGTCGGTAAGAAAAGCGCTAGAATCTTTTCCCGTCGGCTCTGTTCGTTCTTCTGCCAGGTTAGCTGCCGAGGTGCGAGTCCTTCACTTGTTTCTTTATCGATTTATGTACCTGCTGTTGGTGCCGTAGTTGTCACACTTGACAAAGCAGAGCTGCCCCCAGAGTAAGAACCATCATTGTGAGGCATCGCCCTGGCCCCATTCAGGGCGAGAGCGTCGGCCCACGGACTGCAGGGTCTCGGGTTCGATTCCAGTCATTCTGGTGAGGGGCACGTTCCTAGGCTTGATTGCCGGCTCTGGGTCGGGGCACGTGCAGGAGGCAGCCCGTCGGTGTGTCTGTCTCTCCCCTTCCCCTCCGCTCTCTCCGAAGACAGCGGGAAGACGCCGCGGGGAGTGGCATCTTGCTCTTTCTGTGGGTGACGACATTAGCCTTCGCCGACCTGTGACATCGACGCTTTCCCCACTTTGTTTTCCCTTTGCATCTGGACTCTTCCCGGGGAGAGATGCATTTATCTTTTTATTACGTCACCTAGATGGTCTTTCTCTGGAGCCCCTGGGTTTCCTTCCCTGAGTGGGCGCCCCTCGCGAAGGCCTTTCTGAGCCGATCAGGACTCACCCAGGGCTTTCGCCCACGCCTTCACGGGGCCCTGTGCTGCGGTTAAGTCTTCACTGTCTGGGGTCGGTGTCCCTGTCCATCCAGCTGTCCTGGGGCGGGGGGGGGGGGGGGGCTGGCAAAGGGAGGGCTGGGCTGGGCTGGGCAAGAGTCCCCAGGGTGCCACCCGGACGCGCACTGGTCCCCTGCGCCGTCCGGAGGTCTGCTGTGTGCGGGCGCTGCCCCGGCCGGGGACACAGCGCAGACTCCCTGCCCTCCGCAGGGAGCACAGAGGCTGTCACGTAAGATGACGTCAGCTCATGACGAATGAAACCCACCCGTTGTGGCTCAGGGGTTGGGCGTCGACCTAGGAACCAGGAGGTCGATTCCCGGTCAGGGCACAGGCCCGGGTTGTGGGCTCGATCCCGTGTGGAACGTTGAGGAGGCAGCCAACCCGTGATTCTCTCATCGTTGATGTTTCTCTCCCCCCCCCCCCCGCCCCCCTGCCTCCCGTCCTCTCTGAAATCAATAAAAACATTTAAAAACACAAACCCAAGGCCGGTCGGGGGAGTGGTGACGGTGATGCTGCCGCCGGAGGGCGGCTCCGAGATGGAAGGCGGGAGGTGGGCACAGTGAGCAGAGGTCTGTGGGAGCCCACCAGGCGGGGGGGGGGGGGGGGGGGTGAGGGCAGTGGAGGCTCTGTCGGGCCCCGCCACGGCTCAGGCAGCCACAGGGAGCAGTCGCCCCGTCAGACCCAGGCAGGTGTTTCTCCGTGGCCCCTGGGCGTGGCCCCTGGGCCCTGGCTCGGGGCACCAGGAAGGCTCTGTCCAGAGTGACCCCGCCTGCCGCCCCCAGCACTTGGCCACGTTCATCATGGACAAGAGCGAGGCCATCGTGTCCGTGGACGACGCCATCCGGAAGCTGGTGCAGCTGAGCTCCAAGGAGAAGATCTGGGCGCAGGAGATGCTGCTGCAGGTCAACGACCAGGCCCTGCGGCTGCTGGACATGGAGTCGCAGGTGGGGCGGCCTCCCCGCGGGGATGGGACGGGGGCCGGTGTGTGCGCGTGTGCGTGCGTGTGTGCGCACGCGTGTGTGTGCGTGTGCGCGCGAGTGTGTGTGTGAGTGTGCGTGTACGTGAGTGTGCATGTGTGCGTGTGTGCGCGCGCGTGCATATGTGTGTGTCAGTGTGTGCGTGCGTGTGCGCGAGTGTGTGTGTGCGCGAGTGTGTGTGTGGAGGGCAGCTGGCAGGGAGGACTGGCCGGGGAGAGCCCAGGCAGCCAGGTCACACAGGGCTGCCCCCGCCTCTGCAGGGGCTGACGTGACTCAGGAGTTGAGCTTCTACCCAAGAACCCAGGGGACACTGGTTCGGTTCCTGGTCAGGACACAGGCCCCGGTTGTGGGCTCGATCCCCAGAGTGGGTTGTGCAGGAGGCAGCGGGTCGATGTTTCTCTCGCTCCTCCTCCCTTCTTCTCTAAAATCAATTAAATCACTTTTTTTAAAGAGTCTGTACACAGGCTGTGCCCCGCCTGGACCGCTGGGTCCGGGGGTCTGTGTCCATCTGTGGCCACTGCTGCGTGGAGCCCGCCTCCGGGCCACGCCCCCGTTCTGTGCCTGCGAGTTATGCCGGGCTGCGTCCGTGGCACCGGCTCCAGGTGCTGGGCCCACACGTCACGCCCACGCTGTGGCCCTGTGTGTTCCTCGGGTCCAGCCCGTGTTTGAGCCACGTCTGGGGCTCACGGCTGTGCGACCGGCTGAGCCTGGTCCGAGCCCCCTTGTCTCCCAGGAGGAGCTGGAGAACTTCCCGCTGCCCACCGTGCGGCACAGCCAGACGGTGCTGAACCAGCTGCGCTACCCGTCGGTGCTGCTGCTCGTGTGCCAGGACTCGGAGCAGAGCAAGCCCGACATCCACTTCTTCCACTGCGACGAGGTGGAGGTGAGCGCCCGTGGGGAGGAGGTGGGCGGACTGGGGGGCGTGGGGAGGAGGTGAGCGCCCGTCGGGTGGAGGTGAGCGGGCTGGGGGGCGTGGGGAGGACGTGGGCGCCCATGGGGAGGAGGTGGGCGGGCTGCGGTGGGGGGTGGGGAGGTGTGGGGCCCTGGGGTGGAGGTGAGCGGGCTGGGGGCCCTGGGGAGGAGGTGAGCGGGCTGGGGGCCCTGGGGAGGAGGGGAGCGGGCTGGGGGGCGTGGGGAGGAGGTGGGCGCCCATGGGGTGGAGGTGGGCGGGCTGCGGTGGGGCGTGGGGAGGTTTGGGGCCCATGGGGAGGAGGTGAGCGGGCTGGGGGCCCTGGGGAGGAGGTGAGCGGGCTGGGGGCCCTGGGGAGGAGGTGAGCGGGCTGGGGGCCCGGGGGGGGAGGTGAGCGGGCTGGGGGGCGTGGGGAGGAGGTGGGCGCCCATGGGGTGGAGGTGGGCGGGCTGCGGTGGGGCGTGGGGAGGTGTGGGGCCCATGGGGAGGAGGTGAGCGGGCTGGGGGCCCTGGGGAGGAGGTGAGCGGGCTGGGGGGCGTGGGGAGGAGGTGGGCGCCTATGGGGTGGAGGTGGGCGGGCTGCGGTGGGGCGTGGGGAGGTGTGGGGCCCGTGGGGAGGAGGTGAGCAGGCTGCGGTGGGGCGTGGGGAGGTGTGGGGCCCGTGGGGAGGAGGTGAGCGGGCTGCGGTGGGGAGGAGGTGGGCAGGCTGCGGTGGGGGGTGGGGAGGTGTGGGGCCCTGGGGTGGAGGTGAGCGGGCTGGGGGGCGTGGGGAGGAGGTGAGGGGGGGGAGGTGGGCTGGCTGCGGGTGGGGGGTGCGTGGGGAGGTGTGGGGCCCAGGGAAACAGCCTGACCCGTCCCCACAGGCGGAGCTGGTGCATGAGGACATCGAGAGCGCGCTGGCCGACTGCCGCCTGGGGAAGAAGATGCGGCCCCAGACCCTCAAGTAGGTTTGGGCCCCGGAGGGAGGAGGGACAGGGGGAGGGGGCACCCCAAGAGGGCTGGCAACGAGCGGCCTTTTCCCCACCCCAGGGGCCACCAGGAGAAGATCCGGCAGCGGCTGTCTGTGCTGCCTCCCCGCCAGGGCCCCGCCCCGGTGCCCTTCCAGCCGTTCGCCCAGAACTCCGGGCCCCCCAAGAACCGAGTGGGCCTGCCCGTGCCACCCAGCGAGCCAGGTGGGCGAGGGGCTGGGCTGGAGGCTGAGCCCGTCTGGTCTGCGGGGGCTCAGTAGGCAGCAGCTCTGCTCCCCTCCCCGCTCCAGGCTACCGCTCCCAGGAGGCGGCGGACGAGGAGCCCCCAAGAGCTGTGCTGGCCCAGAGGATAGAGAAGGAAACGGTGGGTCTCGGCCTGAGGGCACCCTCCCCCCTGCAGCCTGCACCCACCCCTTGCCCCTGCACCCACCCCTCGCCCCTGCACCCACCCCTCCCCCCTGCAGCCTGCACCCACTCCTCCCCCTTGCACCCACCCCTCCCGAGACCAGGGGCCTAGAAGCAGCCCGTGCGGCTGTCCCTGCCGAGAGGGTGGGCGCCTGGCCAACGCTGCCCCTGCTCTGCCCGCAGCAAATCCTCAACTGCGCCCTGGACGACATCGAGTGGTTCGTGGCGCGGCTGCAGAAGGCGGCCGAGGCTTTCAAGCAGCTGAACCAGCGCAAGAAGGGGAAGAAGAAGGGGAAGAAGGGCCCGGCAGGTGTGGGCGCGGAGGGGGCGGCGGGGCTGCTCAGGCTGTGGGAGGCCGCGGGGCGCAGCGACCGGCCAGGCTCACGCCCCCCCCCCGCCCCCCCGCAGAGGGTGTCCTCACGCTGCGGGCGCGGCCGCCCTCCGAGGCCGAGTTCGTGGACTGTTTCCAGAAAACCAAGCTGGCCATCAACCTGCTGGTGAGTCCGGCGGCCGCCCTGCGGGTGCCCAGCCCCGCCCTCCGCCCGAGGTCTGCCCTTTGCTCACTGGCGCCCCCTCCCGCCCGCAGGCCAAGCTGCAGAAGCACATCCAGAACCCGAGCGCCGCCGAGCTGGTCCACTTCCTCTTCGGGCCGCTGGACCTGGTGCCTGGGGCGCGGGGGCGGCGGGGGGAGGGGGGGATCCACCGGGGTGACCCCCTCTGAACCCCACTGTGCCCCAGATCGTCAGCACCTGTGGTGGCCCGGACATCGCACGCTCTGTCCTCAGCCCCCTGCTCTCCCGAGACGCCGTGGGCTTCCTGCGGGGCCACCTGGTCCCCAAGGAGATGGCGCTGTGGGACTCCCTGGGGGAGACGTGGACGCGCCCCCGGTACACAGCGGGGGGCGGGGAAGGACGGGAGGGGCGCAGACCAGGATGGCCCCCAGGCCCAGCTGGCGGCTCCGGCGGGGCGTCCCGGTGGGTGGGCATCTCACCCATCTCCCCCCGCAGCTCCGAGTGGCCTCGGGAACCACAGCTGCTCCTCTACGTGCCCAAGTTCCACAGCGGCTGGGAGCCCCCGCTGGACGTGCTGAGGGAGGCGCCCTGGGAAGTGGAGGGGCTGGGCTGTGCCCCTGCCGAGGAGGTGAGAGCGCCCACCCGCCTCCACCCCCACCCCCACCCCCACCCCCACCCCCACCCCTGCTGCTGTCTCCCCCCACCCCTACCCCCACCCCCACCCCCACCCCTGCTGCTGTCTCCCCCACCCCTACCCCCACCCGCACCCCCACCCCTGCTGCTGTCTTTCCCCCACCCCTACCCCCACCCCCACCCCTGCTGCTGTCTCCCCCCACCCCTACCCCCACCCCCCACCCCCACCCCTGCTGCTGTCTTTCCCCCACCCCTGCTGCTGTCTCCCCCCACCCCTACCCCTACCCCCACCCCCACCCCTGCTGCTGTCTCCCCCCACCCCTACCCCCCACCCCCACCCCCCACCCCCACCCCTGCTGCTGTCTCCCCCCCACCCCTACCCCCCACCCCACCCCCCACCCCTGCTGCTGTCTTTCCCCCACCCCCACCCCCACCCCTGCTGCTGTCTTTCCCCCACCCCACCCCCACCCCCACCCCTGCTGCTGTCTCCCCCCACCCCTCCCCCCACCCCCACCCCACCTCTGCTGCTGTCTCCCCCCACCCCCACCCCCACCCCTGCTGCTGTCTCCTCCCCCCTCCCGCCTGACGCCCGGCACCAAGCCCAGCGGCCCACTGTCCCCGCAGCCCACTCCCGCCGGCCGGCCGCCCTTCCGGAACTCCCTGAAGCAGAGCCTCGTCCCCGAGCCCGCAGCCCCTGGAGACGGCCTCCCCGCAGTCAGCTCCCCGCACGCGCACAGGTGGGCGCCCCTCCAGCGAGGGGGTGACACCCCCCCTTCAAATCACAGGCTCTGGGTACCTGCCACCAGGTGGCAGCAACTGCCTCCCTCGTGTGGCTCAAAACAGCACTCTTCGCACTGGAACCAGGTTTTCACTCAATGTTTACGATGTAAATTTAAGGGAAAATGGCCAAAGCCCCCCCTAAACTCCCCTCTGCACCCCTCCTCTTGTGTCTGCACTTCGTGTTGTAGAGTCGTGGGTAGGCCTTTACTGAGCTTCCGGGGGTCTTCCAGCCCCTGCCACCTGCTGGGGTTGAGTTAGACCCACCCTCGGAGCCCAGGAGGAGGTGGAGGCTCTGGGTCCCCTCCCCCAGCACACGCACACGCACACACGTGCACACATACACGCACGCGCACATACACACACGCACGCACACACTCATCTGGAAAGACCACATCCCTCAGGCCCAGGATCTGCCTGGAGCTCTATCCTGCCAGACCCCGCATTCAGCTTCAGGAGGGGCAGGTCCTAATCCAGGTTCCCGCCACCTGTCTCCCTCCGCCCCCGCCAGCCACGTCCCTGGCCTGGGCCGCAGTGGAAGAAACATTCTCGTCCTTTGACCGGGCTGCTCCACCCTGGCCAATCCTGCCAGCCCGTCCCCCCGCCAAGGCTTGGGGGGCTCCAGCCTCAATCCCTCCCTCCAGTGTCTGGAGGCCACACCTGGATGAGGGAGGCGCCATGATGATGGGGGCCAGGGTGGACCAGGAGGCTGGGCTGGGCTGGGCTGGGCGGTAGCCACAGGCTTGCTCAGTGCTGAGGTCAGGACCGCCCAGAGGCCTCGGCCCCCCGCCCCCGGTACCCTAAGCTCAGGCACTGACTGTGCTGCTCCCAGTGGCCGTGACCCTCCCTCCTGGGCAGCTGCTGTGACCTTGACATTTCTTGGGCACACGCCTGGCTGTGGTTTCCCCAGGGGCTGGGCCTGGAGACCCCTGAGGTGGCCCAAGGCGCCTGGGTCCCGCCGCCTCCACCCGTCACCGCACCCCCACCTCCGCGCCCGGCCCCCCCACCCTCGATGCTCTGGGGCTGTCACAGTTTCCATTCCCGGCTGCGCCGCGCTCGCCACTGCAACCTCGGAGAGAACAGACCGGGAGGCAGCCGCACACCGGAAGCTGCTCCCCAGCCCGGCCCGGGTCCAGGAGACCCGGCCCGCCCTGGGCCTCAGCTGCTCCTGTTCCACGCAGGGGCTACGAACCCACGCCGGCCATGGCCAAGTACGTGAAGGTTCTCTACGACTTCACGGCCCGAAACGCCAACGAGCTGTCGGTGCTCAGGGACGAGGTCCTGGAGGTGTGTGGGCTGGCGGGAGGGGACTGCGGGGGGCGGCGGGAGGGGACTGCGGGGGGGCTGGCGGGAGGGGACTGCGGGGGGGCTGGCGGGAGGGGACTGCGGGGGGCTGGCAGGGGGTGGGGGGGCGGACTCATGACCCTGGGACCCGCTTGGCTGCCACCCTTTCCCCAGCCTGGCTCCAGGCAGACACTGGATGAGGGCCCCCCTTGGAGGCCTCGGAGTGGGAGGGGGCTGTGCTGGTTCAGGACAGAGGGTGGGCGCTCCCTGTGCCACTGGGGGAACCTCCCACCCCGCAGGGCTTGTCATCCATGCCCACCTCTGGAGCCCCTCTGGGCACCATCTGGGTTTGGTGCCAACCCTAAATCTGGGTCACCCGCCAGGGGAGGAAAGTGGGGCGAGCGGAGGGTGATCTATATCCGCAGCCAGGCTGGGGCACCTCGCTCAGCGGCAGCGGAGAGGGGGGGGCGGGGGAGGTGGGGGGCAGGGCCCGGCACCTGAGGAAGGTGTGACTGTCCCCTTATCCTCTGGACCATCTGCACAGGGGCCCACCCAGTGGTCCCCGCACTCACTGCCCGTGGCCGGAGGGCAGGGGGGCTGCTGGTCGGTGACTGGGTGACAGTGGGTGACGGTGGGTGACGGTGGGTGACGGTGGCGGGCGCCCGCAGGTGCTGGAGGACGACCACCAGTGGTGGAAGCTCCGCAGCCGCAGCGGCCAGGCTGGCTACGTGCCCCGAAACATCCTGGATGAGATCCGGGCGGAGGAGGCCGGCGCCCCCCACGAGGTGATGGTGATGGGGGTGAGCGGCCCTGTCCCCCCACAGGCTGGGTCCAGTGGGGGTGGAGGGGGGGCAGGTGCATGGGCCTCGGGGAGAGACCCCCTCTACACCTGGAGTCCTCGCTGCAGGGGCTCCAAGGTCTGGCCCCAGACCAGTGGGGGCCTGGACAGGTCTTGGGAGGGAAGGGGGCGGGGCTCCTGCTGGAGGGAGATGAGTGACGGGAGGGCTCCGCCCCGCCTCCCCCACCTGCAGGCGGGTCTGAAATACTGGGGTCCTGCCAGCCCCACCCACAAGCTACCCTCAGGCTTCGCTGGAAACAAAGACGGTGAGGGGGGCGGGGCGGGGCGGAGTGGGGGGGGGGACACCTGGGGGGGAGGGGAGGGGAGCCCGGCCGAGGGCGGCCTGACCCGCTGGCCCCGCAGAGATCATCCACCACATGGACGAGGTCAACGACGAGCTGGTCAAGAAGATCAGCCACATCAAGGCGCAGCCGCAGCGGCACTTCCGCGTGGAGCGCAGCCAGCCCGTGCGCCAGCCGCTCACCTACGAGTCGGGCCCCGACGAGGTGCGCGCGTGGCTGGAAGCCAAGGCCTTCAGCGCCAGGTGAGCGGGCGGCGGGCGGCGCGCAGGCAGGTGGCCGGGTGCGGGTGGGCGAGGCCGCCACGCCCGGCAGGACCCGCCTTCACCCCGCCCCCCGTCCTGCAGGATCGTCGACAACCTGGGCATCCTGACGGGCCCCCAGCTCTTCTCGCTGAACAAGGACGAGCTGAAGAAGGTGTGCGGGGAGGAGGGCATCCGCGTGTACAGCCAGCTCACCGTGCAGAAGGCGGTCCTGGAGGTGAGCCCGCGCCCGCCCCCCGCGCCCCCCTCCCCCCCTCCCCGGCCTCTCGGGCGGGGCCTGACCGTCCGGTCCGAGGCTGAGGCTGCCCCCTGCCTGCCCTAGAAGCAGCAAGGAGGGTCGGAGCTGGAGGAACTCATGAGCAAGTTTCATTCCAAGAAGAGGCTGGAGGGCGACAGCTAGGCCTGGCTGGGAGCACCCGCTGCGGGCGGCACGGCCCCCACCCGTGCGTGGAGTATTATTTTTGTATGTGTATGTATGGGGTACCATGGACACAGAGGGGGTGCGCTGCTGGCGGGGCCTGCACCTGGCGGGGGGCCAGCTCACCTGCCTCCTGCCCATGGCCTGCCCTTGGGCTCAGCAACGCCCCGCCACACTCAGCCCTGCCCAAGGCCCACCTCAGCCAAACTTGCCGCCTGGAGGTGCCAGCCCTCCCAGCTCTCCCCACACCTACCCCTGAGGCCACAGAAGCCCCCTCGCCTCTGGCCTCCTCCATCCACAGGGGTCCCTGGGACTGGGACTCTGACCCTGTCCCACTCCCATGACTGCTCACTTCCCCATCCACTGTCCCCCGCCCCCGGCTGGCTGTGGGCCAGAAGGGCAGCAGCCCTCAGCCACCCAGCCACCCTGCCGGCCCCAGATAGCGCCCACAGCGCCCACCCTGTGCTCTGCTCCCCGGGTGGCTGGGGGCGGTGGTGGTGGTGCTGTACTCCCTGCACCTTTTCAAGAAGCAGGTGTGGACTGGACTCACCCAAGCACTGGCCTTGGACATCCCACCCCGCCCCCACTGCCCACGCCCCCACTGACCACGCCCCCACTGACCACACACCCCCTGACCACACACCCCCTGCCCACACCCCCACTGCCCACACCCCCGCCCCATCCCTGAAGCAGAGCCCAAGAAAGGAACTTCTCCGGCCAGTCTCGCGCCAGCCTCGCCCTGCGTGCTGCACAGGGGCCTGGAGGCCTGAGCCCTGGGCTCTGCAGACCACACCCCAGAACTGAGAGCCACACTCCGAGCGAGGCCCTGACATTAAACCGGTTTCTCCGCGAGGCCCCGCGTCTGTCTCCTGGAGGCGGGGGTCGTGGTGGGTCAGGGCGCGTGAAGTTGCACCTTTGTAAGAGCCAGCGGGCAGGGGCAGGCTGTGGCCAGGCGGTCTGCTCACCCTGACCCTGGTGGGAGCCCTGGGAGCCCCCCCCTGCACACTATCCAAGACGGGCGGGGGGGAGGGGGACACGCCTGGGAGGGGAGAGGCTGAGAGGGGCCCTGCCCAGAAGGCGCAGACTGTCACCCAAGACCAGTGGGAGGGGCGGGCTGCCAGAGCTCAGGTGGGTGGGGAGGGCGGGGGCGTGAGTCGGGAGCCAGGAAGCCGAGCTGCGGGTGCGGTGGGGGAGGGGAGGGAGGGGCTGAAGGTGGGGCAGCCGGGAGGGCGTCCGAGCGGGAGCCTGAGGTCTCCGAGGAGCACGGGGAGGGCTGCACTCGGCACCGCGAGGCGCCTGACCGCCGGCCACGCCCCCCCTCGGAGCAGGCCGCCGCGCCCTCTGCTGGCGACTCTGCGTGCTGCGTCCTGACCCGCGTGGTTCTGAAGGAGCCGGTGGGGCAGCCCGGGTCAGGGTCAGGGTCTGCAGCGGGATCTCCGCCTGCCTGCGGGGAACTCGGGCGCAGAGGGCAGGCGGGGCTGGCGGGAGGGCTGACCCGGCTGCTGGGCCGCAGGACGGGCCAGTCCCAGGTCTGGGAAGCTCCCCGTGGCTGGGGCGGGCCACACCCGGCCAGTCTCCCGCGGGCTGGTCAGGGGGCGGGAGGTGTCTGGTCATCTGGGCCACTGCGGCTTGACCATCACAGCCTCCCCCCAGGAAAGGAAGGACCCCTCCAGGCCAGAAAAGAAGCTCTGGCCTCACCCTGGCTGGGTTGGCTCAGTGGATGGAGCACCAGCCTGCGAATCAAAGGGTCTGGGGTTCAATTCCGATCAAGGGCACAGGCCTGGGCTGTGGGGTCGATCCCCCATATAGGGCGTGCAGGAGGCGGCCGAGCCATGATCCTCTCTCATCATGGATGTTTCTTTCTCTCTCTCCCTCTCCCTCTTTGAAGTCAATAAGAATTTTTTTTTTTTTAAGAAATTCTGGCCTCCGTGCCTGGGCAGGACCCTGTGGACAGGGAGATGGCCCCCAGAGGAGAAGGGGAGCATGGGGCGATGTCCCGCCCTCTGGAACCCACAGATCCCACAGTCCGGAACCACCGGGAGGTACCCGGCAGGCCAACCCCACCCGCCCTGCTAGGCTGAGCCCCTCCTCAGAGCGGGACGGGCACCCCGGATCCACTGCCCTGAACGGGGCTCTGCTGGCCCAGGGATGCCCGCCCACCCCATCCAGCAGGGCTCCCCCGTCACCAGCATGGTCTGGGCTGGGGTGCTGATCTCTTCTGAGCCCCAGAACCTACACCTGCTTCCTGGGTTCAGGTGCATTGGGCCCGTTTCAAGTTCCTAACCACTCCCCTCCCCTCCGCTGCAGACTGCGCCGGCCGAGGGTCTGGTGGCACCGTCCAGGGGGCGGGGCTGCAGACGGGGGACTGGCGGAGGAGGGTCCGCACCGGGTGAGGGTGGAGCTGCCCGTCCAGTGCCCACTGTGCCAGCTGCGCAGCCACCGCCGCAGGAACAAGGCCCGCCTGTCTGGGGGACAGGCCTGTCTTTGTGGCGTCCCCACCAGTGTGGCTCTCATGCCTCGCCTCCCACCCCCACAGTGGCCTAGGCCCCACGCCCAGTCCAGCTGGCTCAGAGGCCAGAGGGCTGCCCCGGCTGTCTGGGGAGAGCTTTCCCTTTTTTCTTCTTAAAAACTTTCCGCCCGCCCGCCCGCCCGGCATAACTCAGAGGCTGAGCGTCGACCTATGAACCAGGAGGTCACGGTTCGATTCCCGGTCAGGGCACAGGCCCGGGTTGCGGGCTCGATCCCCAGTGTGGGGCGTGCAGGAGGCAGCCGATTGACGATTCTCCCTCGTCATTGATGTTTCTATCTCTCTCCCTCTCCCTTCCTCTCTGAAACCAATAAAAGTATATTTTAAGCCGAAACCGGTTTGGCTCAGTGGATAGATCGTCGGCCTGCGAACTGAAGGGTCTCGGGTTCGATTCCGGTCAAGGGCATGTACCTGGGTTGCGGGCATGTCCCCAGTGGGAGATGTGCAGGAGGCGGCTGATCGATGTTTCTCTCTCATCGATGTTTCTAACTCTCTATCTCTCTCCCTTCCTCTCTGTAAAAAATCAATAAAATATATATTTTTTTAAAAAGTATATTTTAAAAATAATAATAGCTCTGACCGGTTTGGCTCAGTGGGTAGAGTGTCGGCCTGAGATCTAAAGGGTCCCAGGTTCAATTCTGGCCAAGGGCATGTACCTTGGTTGCGGGCACATCCCCAGTAGGGGGTGTGCAGGAGGCACCTGATTGATGTTTCTCTCTCATGGATGTTTCTAACTCTATCCTTCTTCCTTCCTCTTTGTAAAAAATCAATAAAATATATTTTAAAATAAAAAAATAAAAATAATAATTTCTTTTCATAGAAAATACGCTCCTTGCATGCTGAATGCTGGCTCTCAAAACGCCACCGTGACTGTCGATAAAGCTGCGTGGGCTCCCCGAGGGTCTGCGTGGGGTGAGGGGCGGCAAGGGGGTGAGGGAGGCCTCTGCAGGCTGGAGTGGACTGGCCGGCTGGGGACAGTGTGTTCAGGAAATGGGCGCCTCGGGGCCGGAAGTGAGTTCAGAGTCGCTGGGCCCCGTTGAGGAAGGTCCGAGACCAGGGCATTGCACCCCGCTTCCTGGTGTTGCGTGGCTGTGGTCCGTGGACTGCGAGGCGGCCTGTGCCATGGCTCGCTGCCCGTGCCCCGGGGCGGGGGCGTCTTTCAATGCCGCTCCTGCTCGCCTCCTGCTGCAGCCGATGCCGTGGAGGGGACCCCGCACCCTCCCGCCGTGACCTCTCAGGGTGTGAAGGAGCCTGAGGCCCGGAGTCTGAGACTCGCTCGTGGAGACGAGTCCGTGGGTCAGCAGGGCCGGCCAGGACCGGGCGCTGGCGGGTGCTCAGACCTGGTCCCCGGGAGGAGGCGACGGAAACCCCTTTCCCCCGTGGGACCGGCCGACGCCCCGAGTGGGGACAGGCCCGCGAGCTGTGCCCCCCACCCCGCGGCCCTCTTCCTGTGGGGTGTCCCCAGACCCTTTGTGGGTTTACCCTGCGGGCGTGAGGCTGGGAGAGCTGAGGTGGGTGCCACGGGAGAGCCCGGGGCAGTAGGCAGTGTCCACTTAGGGCTGATGCTGTGGAAGGCGGGTGCTGCGTGAAAAGCCCACCCACAGGTTTCGTGAATTAAAATACACAGGCATGCCCGGTGGCTCAGTGGTTAAGCATTGACCTATGAACCAGGAGATGACGGTTCAATTCCCGGCTATGGCACAGGCCCGGGTGGCGGGCTCGATCCCCAGTGAGGGGCGTGCAGGAGGCAGCTGATCAGTGATTCTCTGTCATCATTGATATTTCTATCGCTCCCTCCCTCTCCCTTCCTCCCTGAAACCAATTTTTTAAAATATTTTAAAAAAAAAATTAAAAAAAAAATACACAGGCACGCCGAGCCGGTTGCTCAGTGGTTAGAGCGTCGGCCAGGCACCGAAGGGTCGAGGGTTTGATTCCCGGACAAGGACACGTCCCTGGGTACCTGGGTTGGGGGTTTGCTCCCTGCCCCTGGCCTCTCTCACATCAGTGTTTCTCCCTCCCTCTCCCCGTCTCCCTCCCACTCCCTCTGAAAAGCAATGGGAAAGACGTCCTCTGGTGAGAACTGACAAAATAACACTAACAACAAGGAAAATACACAGGCCTGAGAGACCACGCGTTTCACCAGAACTCCTGCAAATGGGGGTCTTGGAAGAGTCCCTTAGGGGCGGGCGGGGTCTAGCGAGCATCTGAATGAGGAGAGAAAGGAAGGTTGGACAGTCCTGGGAACAACCAAACTCGCACGCTCCGGCCTGCGAAACCGGGTCCTGGGCCCCCGCCTGCTCCCCAAAGCAGTGCTGGTGCGTGGGGTGCATCCTCGATGAGCGCCCCCATCTCCCGGCCTGCGAGCCTCCCGTGTGTGTCTTTATGGGACGGCTTAACTCTATGACAGGAAGTTGAAGCCGGTCTCACGGTCCCCTCCCCAGGCTGCAAAGCACCACCATCTCCAGAGCTTTCCCAGCGGAAACCCTGTCCCCATTAAACACTCGCCCCCCCGGCCCCCCCACCTACTTCCTGTCTGCGGGTCTGACTCGGGGACCTCCTCTGAGCGGGTCCCACAGGGTCCGTCCCTCTGGGTCTGGCTTATTCGCTCGGCGCAGCGTCCCATGTCCCCCCGGGGCAGGCGGCAGGGTCCCTCCTCCTCAGGCGGGTGACATTCCCCTGTGTGGGCCACAGCCAGCACCCCATTCGTGTGCAGGTCCCCCCCACTCCGAGCAATTCGGTGACGCCAGCTGGTGCCCTACAATTCAACGCGATCTGACACTGTCGACCCGGAAACCATCAGATCCCACAGGCTAGGGGCTCGGCCCGCAACACTGCCCCCCAGGTGCCAACCGCAAGTCCCGGGGCGCCTGGCTCCTGGCCAGCCCGCTGCAAACCCGAGGCTCCCTGACGCCTCCGTCCCCGGCTGTGACTGTTCCCTGGAAGGACGCACACAGGCTCCCGTGGTGGCGGGAAGGGGCCGCCAGGGCGGTGGGCCCTGCACTGCTGAGCCGGGTGGACTCTGATGCCGCGTCTCACCCCACGCAGGCGGCAAACCACAGCGAGCTGCACGCGGTCGGTGGCCTGAACCCACAGCCGCCCGCAGACGGGGCGGTCGCTTTCCCACAATGACCTGAGCAGGCCTGAATGGCCTCACACGCTACTCTTTTTTTAATTTTTTTATTTTTATTGCTTAAAGTATTACAAAGAGTATTACATATGTCTCCTTTTTTTTTTTTCCCCTGCCCTTGACAATCCCCTGGGCTCCCCTACCCCCCAGTGTCTCATGCCCATTGGTTATGCTTCTATGCATGCATACAAGTCCTTCG